GAGACGAGTCAATCCACGAAATCTGCTCATTTCAAAACCCCGCGACAAGCTCCATGCTCCTACGATTAGATGAAGGCCGGCGGTTTCTTCGTGGAGTTGGAGACTATGAAGGGGGGAGGGGGTGGAGGCTGGCCACCTCTAGAAATTCCTGCCGTAGTCGATTAATTATTAGTGCCGTGTGGGGGGGGGGCGGTGCAACGTACGGAGTAGAGGGCGGCGCCGTGCAGGGCCAGCTCGACGAGCTGAAGGGTGCCGTTGTCGCCGGGCTTGGGGGAGATGCCCTGGGGGATGGGGAGCTGGGGCAGGCAGACGGTGCCCGGGTAGGGGCCCTTGGTCGGGCCGAGGATCTGGAAGGGCGTGATCATCGGGTGGCTCATGTTAGGCGGGCCGGCGAGGTGGTGCGCCAGCTCGGGGCCCTCGTTGCCCAGGCCCAGGTTGACGTAGATGAAGGCCGTCGCGTGGCCCGAGAACCAGCCCGGTTGGAAGGCGATCCCGCCGCCGGTGGTCGGCCAGAAAGTCCGGTTTGTTGTTGTGGGCATGCCACCGCCTGGGGAAGGGAAAGGTTGTTAGGGGGGGTGTTGAGATGCCGCGCGGGGGGTGGGAAAGCTTACATGGGTACATCCATTGCATGCCGTAGGGGAAGGTCTCATTTGTGATCAGGTTGTTGCCTCTCCATCCGGGATATGTGATGATTGTGTGTGCGGATGCGAGCGCCGCGCCAGCGACGGCGACGAATGTTGATGTGAGCATGACGAGGGAGTTTGTGTGTGTAACTGAGAAACTGCGGTGGGCGGCGCGCAAAAGTCGTAAGAACCCAACACCCTCCGATCACTCCCCGATAGTCCCTCCTCTTGAATAGCTACACCACCCTCTTTTACTTCTCGGCGGCGGGCTGGATGTAAACCCCGTATCACCGCTCTTCGACGACGATCTTTGTGGCTGCCGCGTGTGACTTTGTAAGTGGCGGAATGGTTGCGTACGACAGAGGCGTCAAGCACAACAACGCTCAACGGAACTCGGACTTGATGTCGACGACAGTCTTCTTCTTGGCGAACAATTCGAGAGAATGAAAGCAGGGGAAGCAAAGAACGGGCCGCTGGGCAGCAGGAGGGTAATATCTGATGGTGGCATCAAGCACTTAGTGCCATTCCCCTCTCCCTCCAGCCGCCCGGGAATTGTGACCTCGAATCAATCCTGCATATCGAGGACACCCCCCCGCGCACAGCTCCGGCAAGGTACCATGGGCCAAACGGCTCCTTTGGCATGCCGAACAACGAGGAACCACCCATCCGCCCCCCCCAATCTCGACGGTTCTTTGGCGACAGCATGCTTGACTTCAGCTCGGCCACTCAGAGGGGGCAAAGCAGCTGCAGAGTTGCAAGCTGTGCATGCCGACGCTCCCGCCCCCTGTCACCCGAAGGCCACCGCGGCCAATGGGCGGCCGCACTTGGCCGCTTGGCTGCGAGCGAGTCGCTGTGCCGGGGCGATTACAGGTCAATCACCTCGCCAGTGGTCGCCAAGGGCCTCTCCGCGGTCAAGCAATCACCAACAGCCTTCCAATCGGCGGCCGCACCGGCTTTTGGCCTCTTGCGAAGCGTTGACCTGGGGCTGCCATTTTCTCAACGCTCGCGGCCGGATCCGCATTGTTGCCTCGCGCGAGGACAATCTGAGGACTGAATGCCGCATGGCCCCGAATTCGGTGGGCTGATGTCGCCGTTGAACATGGTGGGGAAGAGCTCAAGAGAAAGTGCAAGAAAGCGCGAGTTACCAAGGGCTGGCTAGTCGTTACACATGGAGGTTGGTTCTCGGTTCGCAGCTTTTGGTGGTCACATCGGATTCTGGAGAAGTCTCTCCACCCGGTTGCGGTTCCCTCCAACCTTGTCGCACGGTTAAGCGCCGAGACACCCAACCCGGAAGCCAATGATGTGCCGCATCCCTGTCGTGCGGTTTGGGGGCTCAGAGGGGCGACTTGGCGCAATGATCTTTTGACCGGGTGTTGCCGCGACACCACACGGTTCTTTTGCCAAACCTCGTGCGTTCTGCTTATCCAGGGCATCTTCCAAAGTTGGCATTGGGTCTGCCTCTTTCGGATACGCCGCAACGCTTTCTCCGCTGGGATTAAAGGAGGGTCAGGATCGTCTCCTGGAGCGGGACGTCGAACAAAATTCCTTCAAATTCAGTTGCTGCAATTGTTGGCCTTGTGCAACATATACTGCCAATTAACCGGTAACTAAGCTGACCTGCTGCTGCATTTTATTCGGCATATTCAAATAGAAGGTACAACGCCCACCTCATCCTTTTCAATGTGCCAAAGGAGGGACGAACCGCGACGATGTGGGAGACAACGGGTTGTGGAGAGTGAGCTTCTGGATGACAGGGCTGATTGAAGCTTGGGCCGCATGTGGACTTTACTTGTGATTCTGCTTGGAAACGGCAGGCGGTGGGTTGTTTTCTGCCCCTCAGTTGCTGATCGGCCGATTGCCCCGCCAAACTCCAAAGCCAGCGCGGGGGCCAGGGGTCTGTTGACTGTGTCTCAGCAATCCCAACATGACATCTCGCCCTTGATGTCCCCCATGATCGTGCGTCATCAACACCACCCGGAGGATCAAAGCAACATATTTAGCTACACTAGCTACGTTTGCGACTTCCCGCTCTAGCAGCTCCCTCCACGCCCCCCCTCCTTCAAAAACTCAACACTGGGTTTAGGATTTTGCAGTCATGGCGGGGCAGGACGGGGACGCCGGCGAGTGGAATCAGGTGAAACGAAGAGGTGGTCGATTACGCAACATACCAGCTCCCACAAACGAGGCGGCCGATTCATTAGTCGACGGCATCCGGCCAAACACCAAGCCAGAGCTTTCTGTCAACGACCTCTGGAACTACCACGAGTCAGTGACCCAAGACTCGCAAACAACAGAGTGGTGGGATCAAGTACGCCAACTGCTCGACTCCATCTTGAACAAGCCAGGCTGCCCGACTATCACCAGGGCTGTTTGTCTAGGGCCGGGTCCGTATGAGCCAAGCAATGGTAGCTCCATCGCAAGGCGGACAGCCCACATGCAGACGGCTGCCTTCTGTTGTCTTGTTGGTTGTTTGAGTAGGGGCCCATCCGACATAGGAACAGAATCTCCAATTGCTGATCACCATACAGAGTCTCAAGATGGCCGGGATATCCATTGTGTGGTCCAAGAACCCCGGTTTACAGAGACTGACAAGGAATTTTGCGCCAAACTCGGCGTCGAGGCTGTCGAGAGTCCAGCTGGTTTCTCTCTAGTTGACGAGAGCACGCTCTTGTTCGGCATCCACATGGAACTTGACATCTACAACCAAGCCATGGTAATACCGCCAGCAATATACGTCGGGGCCAGCCTGGAAGAGTGGGAGAAGGTTGTCGACGGCGGCTCAGAAACCGAAGGCCCACTCGCCGCTTACGGCAAGATGGACAAGACCTACGATAGATACCCTTTCCCGGATCTTGATTACATGTTCTCAAGCACAGTCATGTATTGGAGACGGGCTAAAACATGAATAGTATTTCCGCCGTGGTTTCATTCGTTCCATGACTCAAACTGCTAATACCACTCGAGGTCTCTAACGTATGCGCCACATTAGGTATCTTAGGTACTGTCATCTACGAAAGAACAACTCAAGTAGAAGAACTACGGAAACACGAGACATCACTGTTCAGAGCCATGAAGATTGGATAACATCTTCCTTTTACGACGTCTCTTGTAATTCAACGCGGTATATATTATTATTTCCTACACCGATATGCCCTGGGGCGCGCCGGTCCTTCTACTGCTATTTACAAAGGAAACCGTACCGTATAGGCCGGATAAAAACCTCTGTCTACCACTTTGAGACAACAATCTATGAATCCGTCATACTGCAAAAGAAAGGAGGCCCTTTGCCGGCCTCCGGGCCCTCTAGCCCTCCCCATCCACTGTTTCTAGCTCCAGCCTTCTGGCCAGGCTATACTCCAGTAGCCGGCCAGAGTCCATCAGCCAGCCAAGGACCTTCCTAACAAATCTTCTGCTCCGGGCGCCTACTCCCCGTAATACGGCTTGTAGGTCCCGATGTGACCGAATCTCTCTGCCGTCCCACGGCCTTTGTAACGGCGGGTCGGGGCACCAAACCACCAAGTGCTCCACCGTCTCCCTGCCTCTCCCGCACTCGCAATAGAGGGTGCGGACCGCCGGGACTTTCACCCTGAACAGGTAGTCCCGGAGGCCTATATCCCCGATACGGGCCTGGGAAAGGAGGGAGCTCTGCGCCTTTGTGAGACCTTCGTGTCTCATCAGAGCTTTGTCGGTAAATAAGAGGGCTGGGGGGTCTTCGTCGGCTATCCTCCTGTTTAATACCCTCTGTCGAGTAGTACTTTGTTGACTAGCTCTCTGTTGTTCCCACCGGGCCTGCCAGGCCAGTTCGACCACCTCCTTGGTATTCGACCCCCTATCCTTCCCCCCGATCTTCCATTTGTAGTTAACCCACTGGGCCACTACACTAGCGGCTAGTTCAGTGGGCGTGGGGCTCTGCGGGCCCTGACGGGGCCTCCGGCCTCGGGTTTTCCTCCTCTTGTTGAACCTTCGGTAGACCTTATTGCAGGCCTCAGTGATTAGATGCCCCGTGGTTATTCTCTCAGCCTCCGGCCCGGCATCTGATTGTAGGGCCTGCTTCTGTAGCCGGCCCTCGAAGTCAGCCAGCCGCTTGTTGAGATATAAGTCTAGCGGTGGCACCCAGGCCTCTGTTTCTAGGCACCGAATAGGAGCTGACTTGTATGCCCCTACTACTATTCGAAGGCTCCTGTTCTGAGCTTTTGACAAGACCTTTGCAGGCCTCAACGCGGTATATAAGAGTCTAACCTAAAGGACTATGATACAGACGCCTGAACCAAATCAACCGAGCCCCATGTTTCCATCGGCCCCCCATTCCTTGATGCAAATGGAACTCGCCACTCGCCATAAGTTCTCCCTGGCACGCTCGCACCTCCAAAACACCAAATCAAGGAGTCCTAAACCACAGTTAGCAACTACCCTCCATACAACCCCATCAAGAAACAAAAAAGCAACTTACCTCTTCTGGTGCCTGCCCTGCCCACACCGGTAGCAAATCCCGTTCGGCTCACCGCAGTAATTGCTGCACCAACAGATACACAAGCACTTGTATTCTCTCTTTTTCTCCTTTTTCTTCTTCTTCTCCCCGTCGCCGCCGTCGTCCCGGTCCCTGTCGTCGTGCTTCTTACTGCCACCGCTCTTGTCCTTTTCCTTTTTCTTGTCCTTCTCCTTGTCTCGGTCCTTGTCCTTGCCGCGGGTGTCGGACGTGACGTAGTCGGCCATTTTCAGTGAATGGGAGTATTGGTGGGGTTTGGTGACTGATGCGTGGTTGTATCGTTGTTTTGGTTCTTTCCAGGGGCGGGTGTGTGTTTCGCTGCTAGGAAGCTTGGAGCTTATCAGTTTGTTTGGGTTGTTAAGTGATCGGAATTTTATAGCGGCTCAGCCACGTACTTGAAGCTAGCCCCTGCGCCGAGCTGGAACTGCTGGTCTCAACGTGGTTGCCATGTCCTTTTATAGAGGTGGCTACCTGGCCTTGGTTACCCTCGTGCGTGCGACCTACTCTTTAACTCTAGGGCGCAGGTGATGACCGCCCACCCAGCTATGAAACCAGATCATAAGCCACGCCGCGGGACGTTGTCGAGGTTTCTTGGTTTGTTGACTCGTTTTGAACTCCTTATAACTAATGCGCTGATTATTCGGCAGGCACGGGGCCTGCCCCGACGCGTCTAACACCTTTGAGTTGTCAGGTGGAATGGCCCTCAGGGGCTAAGGGTTTGGCTTGCACTGGGCGGCTTGGTACTACCTAGGTATCAATCTGGGGTACAGGCTGCTGTACTTCGAGGTCGGGCTAGGCGAGCCTGGCGAGTCCCCCAGGAATGTGAAGTCCATTGGTGGCCTGCCGCCTGGTTCTGCGGTGATGATGTCTCCATCGGCAAGATGGGCAGGTCTTTGGGGTTCTCTGAATCGCCTGGCCTGTAAGCGTTGGGCCGGTAGACAAATAACCTCGCTCTTCCATCCATGCCATACAAATATGTTCATTCAGTGTCATTCAGTCACGTTCCTTATTTTCACCCTCTCCAGTCCACGAGGAGACGCTCAAGATATCTTGGTAAGCAGATTTACAACTCAATGCTTGATATTCTGGTATCTAGGTCCTAAGCAAATACCATAATCTCTAGCGGTGAAACGACAAATGCTTTGCAAAAACTACCCGTTGATAAAGTCCCGGTTTCCCAATCATGGCCACCATCTACCGGTAGGCAGTTGTCAGAAGTGAAGATGCCGTGAAATCTTAACAACGTAGGTGAATCCTACGACGCTGCACTAATGCAGTCTAGAGTACATTTGTCAGTCCCGACATTTTCAACCCGATATATCCTCGTGGACCCAAAGCAAGAAGCAGGAAAGCACTTACTGCCTATGTATCCCGTTCCGACAGTTGCTGCAGCTGTTATACGCAACGACTGTCCTCCCAAGGCACATGCAGATGCACATACACGGATAGCGGCGCGGTTCGTTGTCTCTTCCCTTGGACGAGGCGTCTTTGTTGTCCCGGTCCCTGTCATCGTCTCTGTCCTTTTCCTTGCCCTTGTCCTTGTGCTTGGAGTCGGACTTCTTGTCTTTTGATTTGGACTTGGTCATGATGGCGGCGAATGCTTGGTTTCTGGGGATTTGGTTGTGGAGGTTGTGATTTAGCAGTGCAGGTCGGGGATAGCCAAGAGCTGCAGATCGGAGCTTCTCTTTTTGCTTTAAGCCGGGTGATATTGGAGGAAGGGGCGAGGCTGTCAACAGCTTTCCACACTCGGTATGGGGTGGTTAGGCTCGGCTGCGATACTGGGGGATTGTACGCCTTAACTGCAAGTTGGAGGCTCCATTGTTGTTAAGATTACCAGGGGCAATGGGAAACTTTATTGTTGTTGAAACCGTGGGGGTACAATAAGTTGCCTACCTTGTTGTCCTCTACACACAAGCCACATGGCTCTCCTGAACCCAAGTTTGACCACTTGGCTGATTGCTGTGTTACCCATCTGCAAACTCCCCAGTGGGTATGACAGGCCGGTAGCTGTGAATAAGGTCTCGTGATTAAGCTTGGCTTGGCTCGTAGAACTCAAAAGGGGTTTTCTTACGGGGTGCGAACTGTGTAACAACCAACGTCAAATCTAACAACCGCTTGATACCGCGGGTTTTACGCTAGGAAGTCGTTATGCCTTTGGGCACTCAGGCAAGCTACTACTTTCGCCGAGTGACATACCCATCTCAATGTTAACGATATCTCATACCGCCTCCCGAAGCCTGAAACGCAGAAAGGGTTGCTAGATCGAGCATAATTATATTGGCGGGGAATAGCTGAGGTAGCATTGCCTTGATCCTGTCACTGGCAACCTACATGTATCCCCGGCAACCAATCCGCCTTCGTGATAGCGCGTTGTTGTTGTTTACCCATTGTCCTTCTGCTCATGATACCCTCAACTGCGGTATCTGATTACATGTACTTTCTGGGAAAGGGCGTCTTATATATCTTTCCTTGGTGCTCCCCATCCCCGCATTCGTTACAAGAGCAGTACTTCCAATTGACGGTCTCGGGCCGATCTCACTCCCTGCACCAGCATTTATATTCCGGGAGTTTGGTGCCCTTATCCTTCTTCTTTTGCTTGCTCTTATCTGTGACGAACCTACTTCAGGACCCTGTCCTGTTAGGGTTCAGCTTCGGTTGAAGGTAATCTCTTAGGTTCGGTGCAGCCAAAAGGTGCACAACAAAGACTTGTCTCAACAGTAGGCTTTCGAGCTTGTAGCGAACTGTAGTTGTGATTGCTAACTGGAGAACTCCCAGAGCTCTCCAGCACGGGTGACTATATACTATCTAGGCTTCCTAGGTACCGGCGTACCTTTTGCTGGGAACGGTCGCCGTTCCCTTCGTTCCTCTGCTGATTGGTCTGAGGCCCATTCTTAATGATTGGCTGGGAACGCTTCCCGCGCGTGCCCCCATCGGGGCGTGGTACGCGACCATAACCGTGACATTATCTCTCCAGGTGGATTCGCCCTTGTCCTGCTTGTTTCCATTATTCGTTTCCGTATTTGTTAGATCCCTTGCCACGGCTGTTAATTTTTGGCAGTCCTGCTTCTCGAGCTGGATTTGTGCCTTGATTTCCTGCCAGAGGCGTCCATCCTTTTTCCTTGTTTATTGTCTTCTTTTCAAATTTATTTGTCCTTCTGGTGGGTGGTGAGGTTCTGGGAACGTGTAAGATTTGAAGTAACAGGTTGAGGATAGTTCAAATTTGATGCTCTTGGGTGGGAAATCTGGCTTGGCTTCAATGGAGGACGACGAAGGATGCTTTTATGCCTGTGGATTTAACTACCTGTTGGGTATCCCCAGTGCCATCCAAGGGAGTCTCTCCTTTGTTAACTCCTCGGGACAGTTACTTGAACCACGTGCCATGCCTAACTCGAAAGTTTTAATGGATAAGCTTCACCTGGCTGGTTTATCAAGGGGTGGGGGAGGCATGCCTCCCGGACGAACTGAACCAAGGCACTCATGGTGGTATATATATTATTATTCATACTCCGCTATGCCCTGAGGCGTGCCGGATCCTCAGCTATTTAGTGTACAGGAAAACCGTGCCTTCCCGGGCCGGGTGAAAAACCCATACCAACAATCAAGGAACGATGCGTTTTGGTGAGTCTGCGTATACAGAGAGAGGAGGCCTCCTGGCCTCCGAACGGGGGCGCTTCAGGCCGCCGCTTCCAGCTCGAGCCTCCTGGCTAAGTTGTACATCGGCAGCTTCCCCGAGTCCATCAGCCAGTCGAGGACTCTCCTCGCGAGCCGTGCAGTCGTGGGATTGGGATTGATGCCGTGTATAACAGAGTAAAAGTCCCGTCGTGTCCGAATTCCAGTTCTCTCCCATCTTCTAGTCAACGGTGGGGCCAAACACCACACTACCAGGTGTTCGGCAGTCGCTCGTCCCTCGCCACACTCGCAGGCAGGAGTCAGAACCTCCGAGACTCCCCGTGTAAACAAGAAGTCCCGTAAGCCTATTGCTCCCGTCCGGATTTGAACCAGCAGTGAGCTCTTCGCCTTGCTGAGACCGTCGTGCCTCCTTAGGGTTTCGTTCCGGAATAACGTCTCCTGCTGATGGTCAAAGTCGTCCACCGGCCTGGTGATTGCCCTGCCGTCCCGTTCCTTTAACCACCTCGCTTTCCAAGCCTCTTCTACTACCCTGTTCGTATCAACGATTCCCCCCATGGTGGTGTATATAGGTACCTTAGCCTTCCCACGTTACGAGCTCAAGGAAGCCGTTCCCCGTTTTGGAACCTCGATAACGGTCATCACCTGCGAGCATTCCCAGATTCAACAAAGGTTGGATGAAAAAAGTAAAAAGGGTCTGGTGACTCTTCCGCATGTGTCTCGCACAGTCTCATGACCATTTGCAACTTTCTCATCAGGTCCTACGGAACTCCTAGCAATACAATGGACACTAATCTGACCGGGTCTTTGTGTTGGATCGGCAACCACGTTGCTTTTCCTTGCCAAAGGAATGGTTCGCCGACAAGGCGCAGGAGTGCAGGGTGATGAATTAGGTACTATGCATGTACATACCTATTTGACCTAGGTAGGGATTTGGATTTCACTTGATTAATGCCCAGGTGATGGACATCGGACATCACCCATCAACATACGTGAGGGGCCCCCTCAGCATCTGCAAATAACATCTTCCGTCACCCTGCAGCTTTGATCCATTCACTTGTACATTCTTCATTGGCGCTCGTGGTGATCGTCATGCATATTCTAGGAGTGTGACCGTCAACATTTGCGATTCAAACTCACTATGAGGGGCCTTGTTCTCCTCCATTAATGATATTGACCGCGCGAAGTATTTTTTGGCAAAACAGTACGTGGGATCCGGCAACCTTGAAGCTCAAGATACGATCCGTACAAGATCGACTCTGCAAATGCATGAACCGTTATCAATACATGTACTAGAAGAGGCACGATAGCTTGAATACAACCTCCTTATTCTCCAACAACCCTTTGCCTCCGCTAGCCATGGTCAGTTCTTAACCGCGAAGATCTTGTAGGAGCCTATTGAAATCAAGAGTTAGCCAAGTCCTTCAACCAGGCTCAAACCCCACCACTTACCAACATATTCATTCAGGTCGGTCTTCTCGGGTACCACACCGGCCGGAACAGCACCTCCACTGCCGGTAGTAGCAGCAGGGACAGTGCCGGCGCTATCACACCCGGTCCCCGTACCTGGGGCACAACAACTCCCATTCCTCTCCCCATCCCCCCCCGTCTCCAAGTAAACATTGAGATCGGCCCCGGTATCAACAATTATGACCTCTATCACGCCGAGTCAGCCAGCCACTCCCACCTCACCATCACCGACCCAACACCAAAAAGGAAACCCAAAGAAAAGAAGTAAAAACAAACTCACCACCAAACCCCACCCCCTCCAACCACACCACATACTCCCTCACCTCACTCGCCCCTGCCACACAACCCACATACATCGCCACATCCTTCACCAACCTCTCCGGCAGGGGCCTCTTGGCCAAGATATCCGACACGGCGACGCGGCCCCCCGGTTTCAGCAGGCGGTGCATCTCGCGGAACACGGCGGGCTTGTCGGCGGGCGGCACCAGGTTGATGACACAGTTGGAGATGATGCAGTCGGCGGTTGCGGCGGGGAGCGGGACCGAGGTGATGTTGGCGTGGAGGAAGCTGATGTGTGGGGTGGGTGTGGGTTGGGTGGTTTGGATGCGGTGGGCGCGGGTGAGCATGTCCTGGGTTGGTGGGAGGGGAGGTTAGGGGGGGTTGGTTTGATGGATGGGGGTGGGGGTGGAGGTGGGAGGGTGAGGGTAAGAGAGGAAGAGAGAGGGGGGGGGGGTTGGGGAGGATGGTGTGGTACCTCGTTCATGTCGACGCCGATAGCACGGCCGGAAGGACCAACTTTGCCCGCGGCTAAGAAGACGTCGAAGCCTGCGCCGCTGCCGAGGTCGATGACAGTTTCGCCCTGTTTAAGGGTTAGGAAGATAGGTACACCAAACCCGGTTACAAAGGCTGACTGGCCTCCTTCAAACTGGCAATGGCTAAGGGATTGCCGCAGCTTAGGCCGAGGTTGGCATCCTCGGGGATGTTGGAAAGCTCGTCGGCGCTGTAACCAAAAGACTTGGCCACAGCCTCGCCGTATTTGACGCTGGTGCTGCGTGATGCCGAGCTGTAGTGCTCGCGAACTTGGTCGTAGATCTCGGATGAGTCCATATTCAGGGGTGTGTTTGTCGGTTGAGGAAATGCACCAAATGGTTGGCGTAGAAACCTGGGTCCTACTCCTGGATTTCTGATGAGTGGGAGGGGGAAGAAACGCAGCTGGATTGTGGTACTTTGGGGGGTTATATATACAGTTTCTGTTCAGCTAAACTGTCTCTCAGGTCCGCAAATGTAATCCGCTTATAAGCCAGTCGTCTTCTCGGTTAAGGGCTTAAACTCCCACCTATGTCGTCGGATAGTTACCTATTACCTAGATGCATGTTCTTCGATTAGATAATCATTCTGCACTTGCATAACTAGTTAACTAATCCCCCCGGACCCGCGAACCTATTGGGAGCCAACCCCTCGAACTAGTTAACTAACTGAAAGCGGAATATATTCGGTATGTCATCGAAAGTTCTCCCTTTGAGGCTTTCCAGACCATACATGCATCACATCAACAACCAAGTTCAAGCGCTTCAAAATTTGAGTCCACCCAACCCACATCCAAGCCACATCGAATCTGCGTTTTTACTTTCACCTCCGCCCAACCTGATACCATGGACACCGGAATCTACCGAGTTCACAAATTCTCGACCAAACCTCCAGGCCATGACGCTTCTCGACAACGTGAAAACCAGCGGCGACACCGGGCGAGAGTGAAAGGCCGGATTACCGAGCTTGAAGAGTTGCTTTCCGCCACTCAAAGCAAACTTGATGACGCGCTAAAGAGGATCGAGATCCTGACTGCCGAGGTTCACCAACTACGGCATCGCCCTAGCTCGGGGTCAACCCCATCACCACAAACAACAACCAATCAGCCACGGTGCTTTCTTGGGCCAGAAACCTGCGTTGAGCTTGAAGCCTTTGATGAGACGGTGAACGACGGGATAACGGGACAGCCGCTTACGGGCTTATCTCCGGAAACAAGGCCGACCCCAGAGCCAAGTCCCTCTGTCACCCATGAACCCTCTGTCACCCATGAACCCTCAACCACCAACCCGCAACTTCTCTCTAAACTACCAGGAAGTAGCGTACCCCTATCCGGCTTCGAGGATCCGAACGACGACTGCGCTCTCCTGCCACCCCCCAGCCCCGGCGAGTCCACGATTCCCTGCCGCGAAGCCTACTCCATTATCAAAGACCGCAGTCCGCCAGAATTCGACTTATCCACCGCTGCCGAGTGGTTGCTGCCGGGGTTCCGGTGCGCCGTCGTTCCAGGAACTGGGTGTCGTGTGCAGACGCACATCTTGTTTGCTTTTGTCGACCACATCACCCCAATGTAAATCTGGTTGGGCAAGGCCATCGAAGGTCAATCGGATTACAGCCATGTCCGGATGGATGGCGGTTTGAAGTCGGTTGTCAGTTTGTGTTCTCCATTAGCTACCATCTTCGTCTACATTTAGCCAGGCGAGAATGTACTTCCTGCCGTCTCTCCTCTAGCCTCGGTCGCAGCTTGGTCACATCATGCCGAAACCAACCTCCCCCCACAACTCAAACTTCCTTCCTCTCTACCTCGAAATCCCCCCAGTGTACTTTCCTCACGCACCGTGACCACCAAAAGGCCAGCTGCCTCCCCGGCCAAAGAAGTGTGTTCCGTCCAGAGCGGCCATCCACATACCAGTTCCGCACACCCGCCGTGGACACCACAAGGCTCTGCCCTTTTGCCTGGATCCCATCATTGAAGGACTTGTGAGCGCTCTGCTTGACCTGGACCTTGACTCTTCTCGTTGCCGTGGAGTCCTTGGCCAAGGGACCAATCACCCGGAGAATGTACTCCACCGACCACTCGATGCCTGCCAGGGTGGAGTGGCCTACAGGGAGGGTGTTTGGCCCGGTGAGAAGGAAGAGGTTGGGGAAGTCGGGCACGGAAATGCTGGAGGGTTGTCAGCGCGTTGCTCCTGCTGGGTGGTGACTGATGTTGAGTGTGGTCGTAAAGTACATACCCCATATAAGCGGAAGGAAAGTTTCCCTCCTCGCGCCAGAACTTGGGGAGCTCTACCCCATCCAGCCCCGTAATTCCCATGCGAGTCAGGAGCTCCTGCGTCTTGAAGCCGTTGGCAAGGATGATCACATCCGCCTGGAAAATCTCGCCGCCCTCAACCTGAACATCACGCGGCCCGACGACGGCTAGCGAGGATGACTTCACGAGCTTCACTTTTGGGTCGTGGAGGGCGTCGAGATAGCCGTGGTCCACCACCGGCCGCTTGGCTCCAAAGTCGTAGTCTGGGACCAGCAGGTCGTGGTACTCCCGCGGCGCCGCGCGTCGTATGTAGGCTGCGAGGTGCCTTTGCAAAACCTTGCGCAACATCCTACCCATCGCGCCAGTCGTAAACGCCGGAAAGGCCATGTCAAGCTTCACAATAAGCAGCCACCTCCACAGCCGGTGTGACAGCGGGAATGAGCGGAACACCCTGACCATGCTTGTTAGGGGAGATCACTTCAGGGGCGGGAGAAGGGGGTACTTGCCACTTTTGCCATGCAGGCGCCGGGCCGTCGTCCTTGGGTGCAATCCAATGCGGGCTTCTCATGACCTGCACCAAGCTTCGAATCGGCGCGTGCTTGACGAGATAGGGGACGAACTGGTTCGCCGAGCACCCATTCCCAACCACAAGCACATTCTTGTCTCGAAAGTCGAACGAGTGGTCCCAGTTAGCGCTGTGGGACAAACTACCATCAAAGTTCTGTATGTCTCGGATGCCTTCCGCGCCGTTTGGTACATCGCAGAAACCGACGGCGGTGATGAGGAACCGCGAATGTTTGACGTAGCTGCGGCCTGATTCCCGGTCGAGGAAGTGGATGCGCCAGAGGAATTCGTCATCTACCCACTCTGCTGCTGTGCACTCTTGCCCGAGATAGATATGACTTCCATGATCAAAGCGAGACACTACGCTCTCGATGTAGGCCAGAATCTCTAGTTGGGGAGCGTACACCTCGGACCAGTCCGAGTTCGGCGCAAACGAGTACGAGTAGAGCTACTCAATCCATCAATTTTTGCCTTGAAAGCATACTGCTGGCGGGGAAGGGCAAGCTGATGTTGGTCTCACCTGAGATGGTATATCGCAGCTTAGACCTGGATAAGTGTTTTTGGACCATGTGCCGCCCACACGGTCTCCCGCTTCGAACACAGCAACATTGGCGTTGGGCAATTCTTGCCGCACGCGGGTCAGGGCAGAAATGCCTTGTGAAATGTGAGTACTGGATCGATGAACAGAGTGTGACTGACGGTGGGAGGGCTAACCTGAGAGGCCTGCCCCTACAATGATGACATCTAGCTCTTGTGTGACGTCCATATCGACGGGATGGTCCAACCTGGCCTTCCATGGAGCCAAGAAGTCGCGGTGTCCAGTGCCTTCTTATAACCAAGCACCTTTGGTGGCGGGCACTCCCTAGTACAACTCTCCGTTCTGTTTTTGGTAAAGCTGTACCGGTGACAGATCGATTATTTACTGAGAATGGGCTTGGCTTGGAAGAGCTTGGACGGGACCTTGGTAAACCGTCTGATGCAGTAAGGATACCTAAGTCTTGCTATACCCGAACAGGAAATCTTTTGATATGTCATTGTCCGCATCCAGCCACATGCACTGAGTCTTGATTGCGGCTTCCCCTCCCCCCCGAGACATTCATGACATGATTTTGGAATTACACATCCAATGAGAACTGACAAGGATTTTAGTTTGCTCGGGAGCGGCGCAAAACTCGCCAGTCCAAGGCCCTGGCGATCTCAACGGTTGCAGACGGAGTACTCTAAAGATAGATGTAACACAGCGGCGAGCCCCCAAGGGTGTCCAACACATCCCTAATCGGAACAGCCGGCCCCAGCTTCCCCACATCAAGCAGATCATCCACCGTCCCCTCGCGGCTAGGCGGATTATTGCGGAAGGTAACGGTACCATTAACCTTGTGCGCCTCGGCCGGGTGCAGGACCTGCCAGATCCAGTAGAGGCGGTCGACCATGGCGTGGTGCAGGTAAAAGGCCGGGTCGTTGAGGGACGTGAAGACGTCGGAGCCGTCGCCGCCCATGGCGTAGTGGCCGGCGCCGTGGATGCGGAGGGTGCCGTACGGCCCTTGCAGCTCGTCTTGGAAGTGCCCGACGGTGGCTGACGCGGGGCCCGTGGTGAGGTTGAGCAGGTTGGCGGCGGTGAAGGTGGATGTGGATGCCGCTGTGGTCAGGTCGCGTCGCTGGCAGCGCGGGTTGAGGTGCTTAACGTCGGTGAAGACGGGGGTGTAGCCTTGCATGGCGGGCTGGACTGGGCCGATGTTGATGGTATAGCTGCCGATGGGGGTTGCATGTTTAGATTGGCATCGTTTAAGGCTGGGGGCTGGGGGGTAGGGGGTGGTAGAACAGAGGAACGTACCCGACAAAAGGGCCCGACTTCACGCAGCCGCCACCCTCTCCTGATGGCAGCCAGACCCGTCCAGCGCCGACGACACTGCCGTTGTGCGCAAAGTACTCGCCATCGCCGCCTAGGCTGGTGTCACTACCATCAAAAACCGGCGACTTGGACAGGTCGTCTTGGTACTTGAACCAGTTCCAGTACTAAGATGGGGATTAGCGACGTTGTGGTTTTGATGCGCATCCCCAGCAAATAGCTGAGATGGAATGGAATCTACCGGTAGATAGCCAGTATAGCCACAGTCGTTACGCAGCTTCTGCTCCCAAAGCCAGATCAGGTAGCGGTGCCACGTAAGAAAGTTTGCCGTGCCGTGGATGAAGTTGGTCTGGTTCATGTGCACGGCGACGAAGTCATCGAAGTGGTTCTGCGCTGCCGAGAAGTCCGGGTCGACGGACGGTAACTTCCACAAACATTTTACTGCCCTAATTTAGTCTTTTTTCTGGTGTCTGGACATATGCTCCCTGGTTCGATAGGAACGGGGTTAATGTTAGCGTGTCATGGGCAACAACAACACTGGTAGGCAATCTGGCAGCAAACAACGGGACCGCCCCAACAAGAGCTTTCGTCCCGAGACGGCGGAGGATGTTCGATGAAAAGAAAAGGGGGTAGAGGTACCAGTCTTTGCGGACGGCAGCGTTGGCGAGTGTGCATGTTTGGCCTCCATGTCCGGGCAGGGAACCGGGAGCTGTCTTGTTTGTCTCGTGTAGCTTGGCTTCAACCTTCCTCTGTAAATCTTGGAGGATCGCCGCAGCATCATTCGGACGGGCTGCGACGATGAAGGTCGCACCAAACACAAAAGTCCCAATGGCGGGCACTAATAGCGAGAAACGCATGTCTGCCAGTCTGGTAAGTATCAAGTTCAAGGCGGCGCGACGAACTGAAAATTTCAAATCAGCATGAACCGGACGCGGACCCAGTCTTTATCCAGACCCTAAAGACCCATAAGTACCTCACTTCCAAATGGGGGATGGGTACCTTTGCCGAGTCTGACTGGGGCGGCTGGTGCTCCTCACTCTCCCGTCGCTTGGCCGGGTGATATTGGCTGGGCTCACGATGCAGTGCAGGGAGGTATTTTTAGTAGTTTGGTGCATGCACATGTGTGCAACCCATCCTTCGTCTTCCGTTGTCTATTGCCTCCTGCCAATTGTCATCCAGAATACATGATGCAAGAAGTGAATCCACACTGCCCATCTGGGCACACGAAGACAGTGCATTGGGGCTCGTAGTAGTGTGCATTCTGTGTCTAGTCCCTGACATCTAAATGTCCATCGCCTAGTCCCTAATAACCTATCGCCAACATGCCACTCGTGCCCCTGAACTGCCAGCCATAACCACCTCCCTCGTTGCGCGCCCCTCACCTGTCCCTGCGTTGCCGGCTCATGTCCCTGCACTGCAAACTCCCTGCCCCGACTGTATGGGCAGTTCAGCAGAGAGTATAACAGGCTGCGGATGACACACATTAGCACACATAATGCACTTGACATATTGAAAGGATAGGAAAAGTCCGTACCGGCAATGTGACCAGCAGTCGCTCCGGGCTCATTCTGAGGAACGGACTGAAGGCAGTACTCCAAGCTTCTGACGCAAGTGTCGGTATTGCAGCAAATGGAAGACCCGGAGCAGCAGGCCACTTGTGCAGCTATTTGCAACAGATTAGCTTCAGGCTCTGCGAATTCACAATAATGCGGTAGGGATAAGGTATGTCCTACATCTATGGCCAAAGCACCACATGTAACCATCGTCATTGCCAATGAAGGGATCTTTGTCATGTTAGTAACTAGCTTGAGGAATAGGGTAGTTATATCCTCGAATGTTAGGTGATTGGACTTACCCAAATCAATCGAAGTGGTTTTTTTACCAGACGCCGATTGGCAGTCGCACTTCATTGATGACCCCGTGATATAGCAATGACTGCAGCTACCACCATAACCGCCACTGTGCACTTATTAGTCCCTGTCTAGAACGGTATAAACCCTGCGAGAGGGTAGAGGAGGCCTGTCATACCCTTCCCGAGCAACAAGTTGCCCGTTGTCATTTGCAATGCAGAGATTCAAATCTTCATTGGTCAGACGCTCTCCGCCGTCATTTTGGCGGCAATGGGCATAGAGGTAGTGGGTGCCGGAAATTTCAAGCTAGAGTAAATAATGAGACACCACTGACGTTACAAGAAAGAAGAATTGGAAACAGGGGAGCAATACGTACATTGTTACAAGACCGGATAAACCCTCCACCAAGTACCAAGGTAATTGGAGTGAGAAGCGGGATGATTGTTGAAAATCTCATGATGAATGGTGGAGGAGATTGACGGAGGTCTGAGGCAACAGATGCTTTTCAATGTTGGTGAAGAGACCAAGCCATGGGAGCGAGCCTCGAGGGATTGCTTTATTTATACACAAATTTCCAAGTTGACGCTTGTGATCCCCAGCCTCCATCGATGCTTGCGTGTACGATGGACTGGTCGCCCAAGCACCACACCGGAACCTCACCTCCGGTGCTGGGCGCGTTTCTGTCGGTGTCATCTCGGTAGCTTTTCTGCCGACCAGTGCAATATCGTCTGTCTAACGGCGGGTTTCGCCCAATGGGCGGTGCTTACACTCATTTAGGTGGAGAAAATATGAGTTTTGGAGATGACGGAGAGCTTAGGTAGGTTTGAGAGGATACGCACGTCAGCGCGTATCTTTTAGCTTTGGAGTCTAGCCTCCAGGGGACCCCGCGTTTCCCACAACAGGTGTGCGTACTTAGGAGGCTAGGCTGAGAATTACAATTTACACGTGATGCAGGAACCCGCATATCTGTGTTAACAGTCACAGCGAGGAACGATGCAGAAACGCACCTGGCGCTTCTCCCTGCTAGGATTGTGAAAGTGCTAATGATTCATGTTCCCCCCTTGCGCAGGAGCGGCACCCGGCAACCCCATCCGATAACCTGCCTACTGCCTAGTAATCCTGGGACGGAGGAGGAATACGCGCCTCTCCCGGTCGATTTACGTAACACGCCGGGACCGGGACTCGCAGCGCGAGCACGCTCGAGATTTTTTCTTGTCCTCGAAGTGACCAGTTCTGAGCCCTTTTGAGTGGATCGGAAGATTTATAGCCAAAACATTAACTCAAAAAATAAACTAGACTGCATGGCCAGGAAGTTTCCTAACATGCTGGTCCCGACTTCTTCCTGATGCCCCCAAGCCAGTTGGCAGAGCATCACCAAAACGCTTCGAAACGCACTCGACGACGGACTGTAGTTCCTTCGTGAAGTCGTCTTTTCCTTGCTTCCACAGTATCAAACCGCGCTTCCTCTTCCGACCTTGGCCGTTCGGGTTCACCATGCCAAGAGGCTGGCGATCGCGCAGCTCTGCCCGCTCAAAGTCGATAACCATAAGAGTCCCGCTGACTGCGTCGTATAACATGTTGCGAGGCTCTGCATCACGATGCAGAACTTGCAGCCGATGAAGTTCGGAATAGGCCCTGCTTGCCAAATCTATGGCGAGTGATTTGTTAACCCCGTCGGTGCTTTTGGACAGCGGGCGCCCGGCCCAGCTCAGCAGCAGGAAGTAGTCAAATTCGCAGCCATCAAGATAGTACGGCAGATCCAGATATATCAGGCCAAGGCACACGGGGACGTATTTTCCCTGTATCTGGCACGCCTGGTCGTACACGTCCTTTTTATGCGAGAGACGCCCGAAGCGTCCGGCCTCTACGCCTTTGGCAACAAGCGTATATCCATGAGCCGAGAGCCGAAGCTTGAAGAGTGACCCGATAGCCCCAAACACGTACAACGGGGTCGAATCCGCATCAGGCCCGCGGTCTTCGGCCAGCTGAGTTCGAAGGGAACGCAGGAAATCCACATGGCTGATGTGTCTCGATCCGAGGATTCCGGCGTTGGGGCAGGACTGGTCTATTGGTGGCCCAGATACTATCCCGAGTAGGCATTGATGCGTGCAGTACGGCTGATCTTGTATTCCTCGCTGTGTCGCCCCGCTGTGCCCCCCTTCTCTTGCGCCACCTGGGCCGCGACTGTTGCCCGAAACAGGGCCAGAAGCCGCAGCCCTCTGTCCCGAACGAGTAAGCCGATCCACACTAGGTGAAGGAGGAGCATCTTCTTCGTCGTCATCGTCTCTGGCAAGCACTCTGGTGTCGATCGGGGAGCAGTGCGCGCGGGTCCGAATCGGCGAGCGTGTGAAGCCTTGCCAACGCTGGGCTTTGTATGGGGTATGGCGACTTTTATCCCTGCGGACCGTGCGGGGATTTTTCTCCACTCATCATCGTACTCTACAGCCCAGGTACCAAGCCCCGTGGCAGCGTCGGACCAAGACAATGGAGGAGGCGGCGCACGGAGGGCTTGGGGGATGAAGGCGAAGACTTGTGCGACGGCTGTACGGTGAAGCCTGTTCTCGTCGTCGTCGAGAACGTCTTGATTTGGCACACACACGTAGTAGTACACTGTGGTCGGGTCATCGGCGATATGTAAAAAGACAAAGGCCTGCCCTGTACAGACGTAGCCGTACTGGATGCGCTTCCCAACCATGTAAGAGAAGAGTTGGGTGACGACGGCAGTAGCAAGAACCTTCGATGGGAATGCCAAGTCCTCGCTGTCCTGGTTGATCACGTCTCGGTCCGGTTGGATTTCGGATACTAGGCCGGTCACCACTTCATCCTGGCTCAGTTTGTGTGGCGGCTTGTATTCGATTGCTGCCGCGGGGATCCTTACGCCATCCGATAATCTGTAAGTGCAGAACTGGTCCGCCAGGTTGCCTTTCCCTTTTACAATACGGCGGCGTTTGCGGGCTGGTCCGCGCGGTGCGAGCGCAGCCTCCCCTGCACTACCCCCTGAGAGGGGTGCAGGCTCCGAAGGTCCGGAGAGACTCGGGCTGCCATCGGCGGGAGTGCCAAGATTTGTGTGACTCTCAAATGTAATGGTTCTACGCAGGCCAACGCTGGCCCGAAGAACCGGGCTTTCGTATACCGCATCAACTAGCTTTTGCACCGCATTCTCCACGGTGTCGCGTTCGTAGTACCTGAGGCCGTGTTCGCTACTGATGGGCTGGATGACAGACCGTACATAATCTAGCTGGTGTTGAGATGGAAACCGATGTTGCTGGGAGCCGAAGGACGGCTCAACAGATAATCGATTCCAGATTTCCTCCTGCCTTGCGGGAAAGTCATCCCACAGGCGGATTCGGCGGGGGTACAGTCGACCGACAGGATTGGTGGGTTCGCCCTGCGTGGTTAAGGAAGGGTCGGTAACTACCCTGATCGCAAGATTGAGAGCGTGACAAGCCTCAAGATAAGGCTCTAGTTGCAGTGGCTGCGCGACTTCCTCTGCTTTTTCGCGCCGGCTTTGTTCTTCCACGCACGGCTCTCGGCTTCTTCGCGTCAGCGTGGCTCCTCCTCGCGTCGACGTTGTTCCTCCTCGCGTAAACGTTGCTCCTCCTCGCGGAGACGTTGCTCCTCTTCGCGTCGGGCTTGCTCCTCCGTTGCACGGCTTTCGGCATCTTCGCGGCGGCGTTGTTCTTCAAGAGCCCGCCGCAATCTCGCAATTTCTTCCTCCATCGCGAGATAAGATAACCCTCTGAAACGATTGTTGTCCTGTGGTTAAGACCCTTGGCGATCGCGTGCCCCCCCCGGGCGGTCGACAACCAAAGCACCATTCCGTTGCTATACTTCGTCGTCGAGGTTTGGTCGACCTCTCCACTTTGGCTCCGCCATGTTTTTGTCGCTCGGTCCTCGCTTGTCACGTGGTTAATCCAACCATGGCAGTCATAAATTGGTCTGCACAGTAACCAACTACCGTAATTCCACGTTTACCGGTTTGATAACACCAAAACCGTGAGAAATTTATATGATCGATTGACTATGGCCGGCACCTTCTTTTGCATTCGCCTCGCCGTTGGGGTCTTCCAAGCTGCGAAACCCCATGATCGACTCCGAAGCTTCAAGCTGCTGGGCGCCGAGTTCGAAAAGGGGTTAGGTTACGAGCATTCCATAAGTCCTTGATTGGTCATTGACGTGCCCGGTGTGGGGCCCGCGGCAAGCGCCGTCGACCCCCGTGCTTCGGCGGAAGGGGCGACTCAGGCTTGCCGGCTGAGAATTGAACTCCGGCCAGGACTGGGAGGAAGGAGGATACCTTGCCTTGCGGTTTTCCATTGTTCACGGCCCAACCGCTCTCATCGCTGTTCTTCTGCACCAATGACACCCAGAGAAAAAGTGAGATTCCCATCTTTCTTTATGCGGTCCATGCACTAATGCGCACGTTACATTCGCTAACTGCATACAATTTGCGATCTTCAGAAGCAGCAAGATCCCTCCACAGATCCGTCTTCCGCCGCAGCAAGGATACGGAACAATCAGAGGCGGTCAAGAGCACGCCACCGCGAATTCGTCGACGAGCTAAAAGCCAAAGTTCGCGAGTATGAGCGCCAAGGGGTTCAAGCCACGCTGGACATGCGCCAAGCAGCGCGCAAAGTCGCGCTTGAAAATTCGCGATTAAGGTCCCTCCTCGCCTCCCGTGGGGTCACGGACGAGGAGATCAGTCACTACCTAGCGCAATTTGAGGACCGCGCGTCAGTGGGCTTGCCAACTGCAGCCCCGACACCGCAAACAGACGCGTCACCCCGGCTGCCCGTCGGGTCGGACTCGGGCCTGTTGTCGTCTGACCGCAACGTGCCCGATGTTGAACCGGCTTCTGGGCTCAACACGCTTGCCGTTGCCGCGGATACCAGTGCCCGGCAAACATGTTGCGGGCCTACCACGCAGTGTACTCCCGACGAAGGGCGGGGCGTTCAGAGTGCTGCAGCAGAGGTTCCTCCGCAGGGCCATCCAGCCTCGCCGTCACCCAGTCCAAATAAACCCAACACGACAACCACTTCACACCTGGAAATGTCGTGTACCGCTGCTGCCCACATCATGGCCAACATGTACAGGCATGGGAACAGCGAGCTTGCGAGGGAGGCCCTGGGATGCTCTGGGCCCGAGGAATGTTATGTCAAGAATACCCTGGTTTTTCAACTCCTCGATAGAGCCGAGAGAGATGAACAATAGCATAAATGCCGGGTATTATTCAGGTATCTTCGCATTAATGTTATCGTAATTGCTTCCCATAATCACACGACAAGAAATAGAAACAAAACCATATCTCAACTAATCCAACCACCTCCACTTATTCCCAATCCACTTGACAACATATACCAAAAAGATCAACAGCGGCACTTCAATCAACGGTCCGACCGTGGCCGCCAAAGCCTGATCACTTTGCGGCCCGTATGTGGCGACTGCGACGGCAATGGCCAGCTCGAAATTGTTGCTGGCGGCTGTGAAGCTCTGTGTCGCACTAAGCTTGTATCCGAAACCCGCCCTTCGTGATGCCCAAAGCGTGACAAAAAAGATCACCACAAAGTACACAACCAGAGGGGCGGCGACGCGGACGACGGAGACGATTTGGTGCACGACCTGGCGACCCTGCGAGGCGAAGAGGACGATGATGGTGTACAGAAGGCCGATCAGCGACCAGGGTGCCAAGTACTTCATGAAGACGTTCATGAACCATTCGTGGCCAGCAATCGCTCGGACGGCAAAACGTGTGACGAGGGCCGCACCAAAGGGGATGCCGAGGAAAACACCCACGCTGGTGGCGACGACCGAGTACGACACGTCAAGAGTGCCAGACTCGCGACTGATGACGCGGATGTAAAGAAGGGCTAGTGGCGCAAAAAGAACCATCTGGAGGATCGAGTTGACGGCGACCAGGATGGCGCAGTATTCCGTGTCGCCGCCTGCCAGGCTCGTCCAGATCAAGACCTAATCATAATGTTTTAGAACGGTTACTCTAACCCGAGAAAGGGCAACTGATAAAGGTGGTCACATACCATGGCAATACATCTTCCTAGGCCAACCAGGATCAAGCCAACACGGAGCTCACCCTTGTCGGGTAGGAATGCCCAAGCAAGCCCAAGCTGGGACGGTGTTAGTTAGGAAAGTTGAGGACACTGCTGTGAGCATAAGGGGGCTGTCCATACCATGAGAAGGGGCGCCACAATCCAGTTGACAAACACGCTAAAGCCGATTTGCTTCCAGATGCCTCTGTGCGCAAAAATTTGGTGCAATACCTCATACTGCACTTTGCAGAGGATCGGGTACATCATCACCAGCAGGCCGACGGCTACAACTGCCCGTTAGGGAAAAGCCAAACGACGAAGGCAGAAAGACATACCTATCGGAATGGATACGTCGGCAAACTTGCCCTTCTGCAACGCCGGGCCAACTTCAGGCACGAAATTGCCCAGCAAGACTCCGAGGACCATGGCGAGGAGGATCCACACCGCTAGAAAGCGGTCGAGCCAGCCCAGGGACTTGAAGGCGGAGACTTTCTTTGCGGGACTTGTAGCCTCTTGTATGCCTTGTTTTTCTATATCACCGGAGGATCGAAGATCTGGAGAGTCTGTTGCTGTGTTTGCCGGCAGCACGGCCGGGCCGTCGATGGGCTGATTCGCCATTCTTCGACGATTGTTGTGTCGCGTGTATGTTGGCGATGCACCTGTGGTGGTTTAGGTAGCCGAATGTATGGAGAAATGAGGAAAATGCATGGAGGGAGATGGGATGCAACCGATATATATACCCCGTCAATTGTAACATCAGCTTCCTGTTCCTGAATGGAAGACTCTAAGTCCACGCAATTATGTGATGAAACTTTGGAGGGCAATCGTGGATGTGCTCAAAAAAGTTGCCCCACTGGATCTCGCTAATCTTGACCAATCATCAGGGGGCAGTGACATGCATTGCGTTTTGGGGCCTCAACTTTCAACTGCTATGAGGCCTTGGGAGCAATCCAATGTTCATGCAGTAAACATTTTCCGCATTTTAGTTATTCCCATTTATTTTTCATTTTTATTATTTTTTCTCCACATAAATCTGAGTTCGAGTTCGATATCTTTACTCGGTTTGTAATGTGGAACTCGGTTCGTTGCCCATGTCATACTGGGGAGGTCATCGCGATTTGCCAACCGTGAAAAAATCACACATCATATACCCTTTGAGGGAAGAAGTTAAGAACAATGCCATTTCTGAACGGATTGAATGAAACTAGAAAACTCAAAAGCTACCCGGGTCACTAGATTATTTACTTGCTTGGAGTCCCAATCGCCGAAACCTTGAATCCTCCCGGGCACAATCTCTGAAAGACCTGGTCGGGGTCATACTTGGCCGCAACGCCCTGCATCCCCTTGATATTCTCCTCTCCATACGTCGCCCTTGGGTCCTGTATCTTGTTGGCGTAGTTGAGGTAGCGCCACTCCAGCAAGCCTCCCTCGATCCCGCGCGCAAACTCCGCCACAGAATCCACCCACATCTTGACCTTGTGGTAAACAAAAGTCTCCTGCTCGTTGGTCATAACCATGGCGATGGCGTGGAACAGGATGCCGTTGTGTTGTTGCCGTTTGACGCCCATGACGTTCCCGCCCGCTGCCACGCTGTTCTGGATGGCGATGGTGGGCAAGTGCTGGAACATGCACTTTGTGATAAAGTCCTGCCCGGGAATGAAGGCGGTGAGGTCGGCCACCAGCTGGTCGTGCAGGGCCGAGGTATAAGTTAGGATGCGTGCGTCGTTTTTGAGGGTCAGGGTGAACCAGATTTCGCTAAGTCGCGGTTAGCGGGGGAAGATGGAACAATGTTAGCACGCCAAACTTACCGCATCATGCCCGGGACCTTGGCCTCACGGACCAACGCGGGGAGGGTCGTCCTCTTGGCCGTTTTCCGAATATGGGGCTGTGCGAGCCACTGATCATAGGCCGGTGGCTTCTCAACGCCGGCGACATTGACGAATCGGCTAGTCACCGCAACATCCTTGAACTCGGGGGTGTGCGTGAAGATGGCAGTGAGGTCGCTGTCCGGATCGTTGACCACATTGTCGGCGAACGACACCACAGATTCGATGGCGGCGGGAATCGCCTGTCTGGGCATCACAGCCATGCCGCCCCAGACCTTTGCGCAGGGGATGGTCACCATGGTGAACTTGGTCACAACGCCAAAGTTGTTGGACCCGCCCTTGAGGCATCGAAACAGGTCCGGGTGGTTCTCCTTATCAACGTTGATGGTACGGCCGTCGGCGAGCACCACCTCGTACGCCAGCACGTTATCACACGCAAAACCGTGACGACTCGTGAAGAAGGTAACGCCGCCGCCGAGCAGCAGGCCCCCGACACCGACATCGCCCTCGCCCTCGCGCGCACCGTCAACGGCACGGCCATACTTGTGAAGCTCATCGTAGACATCTTGTCACAAGCAACCCGCTCTAAAGGTGACCGTCTCGGAGGCGCTCGGGGAAAAGCGGTGCGGCCCTTGGTGCGACGACGGCAGTCATGTTGTTGGATCAAGGATCTGAGGTTTCTGGTTATCAAGGGAGGTTTTAATGAAGAGTGTTTGGAAGAGTTTGTGTGAAGGTAATGATCACATACCTGGCAAGTAGGTGCTTATTTATACACGACCAGACGCCACCACTTTGTCATTGTTCGACTCCAGACGCCCGGTTAAGTCAGGAGGTCACCTCAGAAGTTGCCATCACGCACGTATCCTGACCCGTAAGTGATGGCATACCTGCTTCCAGTCGCCTTCGGGCTCGTAGCGACCCGATTGGCGTTGGAGAGAAACGGAGCAGGTGTGTTGGCACTTTCGAGACATGATCTTCATAACAAAATGCTTCGTTTGTTTGAATTCCCCCGATTGTTACCACATTCTAGCTAGGCCGTGCGCCTTGTCGGCAGTAGCTTGTCGGATGTGGTTGAGGCCCAGGCCAGCCGATCAAACCATTGGGTGATCACCCGGGCTTTGACGCGGGCATCAATTTATTCAGCTGGCTTGAGCTCTTGGAGAGCTGAAGAAGATCCTCTCATAGAGGTTTATGGCAACGGCGATCACTACGTCACCGGAAGGTGGGCAACGCACACTTCTCCGGGAACCGCATTATACAGAGATTCGCAGGTCTTTCTCCTTGGGTATATCGCGGCGGATCCAAACTTGTAGGCATCGCTTCGCTCTTCCAGTCGCGCGGCCCTTCTCTGCGCATATCTCCGGAGGATAAAGGCTAACTAGCAGTGTGTGTTGTCAGATGGGCATTTACACAGAAGCATGAGTAGGTACCTATACAAAAGCTGTTACCACGAAAACTGGTAGTTACTATAGTCTAACTGAAAACATGACCGCCAAATGTCGTAGACATTGGTCATTTTCTGATGCGTTTTAGAGAACTGCAGAATCATGGAATGAAGCGCGGCGTTGCGAGGACATGAGTGGTAGGCGTTGAAGATTCAATATTTTGTTATGAAATGTTTCACTCATGATAGCAACACGATGGTAACGTTCCGATAAATGGTTTGAATACAACTACCAGGGCTCAACCTATCTCCCTAGTTCAGATGAACACCCTCGTCACATTCACCGCGGCGCAGTCCGGCGTCTCCGGCTCGGTACCATCTCCTAGCGCCCACACCAAACTCTGATACTGGTACCCCGAGAAGTAGGTCGAGCATGCAAACCACCGGTAGTACGTCGAGGTCTGCCCGGCGGTCGGCGGGCTCGTCTTGTAGTTCACGTAGCCCTGCACGCCCAGACGCTCCTCTGCGTCGAACGAAAGAGTCTGGCCGGCATAACCCGGCTGGAGCAGAGGGAGCGCAAAATTGGTGATGGGGTCGTAGAAGAAATCGAGAGCCGACGGGATCGGCGGCGTCGCAGGCAGTTGGTAGCTAAGGACGCCTGGGGCGCCGGGAGCTGGGCCGGGGGGCACGGTGTTGGCGGAGGAGTTGAAGCGGAAAGTCGCGGGCGCGAGGGGATTGGGGCTGGAGACGGAGCCGCCGCCGGAGAGGCAGAGCTGCTCGATGGCGGCGCCGGTGTGGCAGGCCGAGAGGGTTTGGCCGTCGATTTGGGCGTCGTCGGAGGAGAGGACAAGGTTGAACGGCTTCGATTCAACGTCGAATTGAGCACTCCCAAGGGCCGCGAAGGCTAGAGTGGTGGATAATGTGAGTTTCATGATGAAAGGGGGTATTAGGTAGGTAATGTATGGATTGTAGGTTCTAGGCGAGTGACTGAAGACTAGAGTCGAAAAGAGGAAGTGAAGGCTCGGCGTTCCCTCTTATAAGTGTTTAATGAGCATTCCACGACGCTGGAGGTCGAGGGTCGCAATCTCACCGCTGATCTACCCGTAGATGACGTAGCATCTCGTATCTTTTAAAGGGTTGCAGTAGCTCATGGAGGAGCCGGAACTTTGCCGCTGGAGGGCCATGGCTACCCCTACCCATGTTACTGTGCAACTGCTCGTCCTATTGAGCCGGAAGCTTAAAATTCACTGCCAATCATCGGTCCCGCGCGTCATGGAAAGACCGGGTAGCAAGCGGTTCAGAGCTGCATCTCGTATCCATTTTGAGAGCGTTGCAGCTGCTCGGGAGGGTAATCCTTCCCAACTGGGTATGTGTGGGTGGTACCTAGGTAGGTAGGTACCTTTGTTTTCTTCCAAAGCATGACACTAATAAGATACAGTCAATGGAAATGTTCTGCGCGAACGTCACCTTCATTGCGAACCTACGCGTAACCCTGTACTCGACGTACCTACCTAGGTAATCTGACCTCACTAAAAGAAGTCGGAGATACCACTGATGGCCGAGGTAACAAGTCTGGCCCCAAGGCAAACGCGGCAACGGGCCTAGTATGGCACCAGCAACCACCGATTGGGAAGAACCGTATTCGAATGCCGGAGGATCGGGGATAAGCCTTTGTACCATGTCAATGTTGGTTTCCACCGAGCCCTTTGAGTCCGTCACGACGTTCTTGAAATCCGCCGCGGCACCGACACCACCATTCCCTGTCACCGGAATCTCCATGTTAGTGCTCGGGTCAGAAGTTCTGACCACCGTTTAAGGCAGAAGGGGAAATATTAAGAGCACATGGCAAAACACGCCACCTAACCAACTAGATCCAACAGCCACGTTAGATCATAGATTATACGTTCTCTCCACCTGCTCCTGCCTCTCCTCTTGCTCATCCATCGGCCGGATCTGCAAAGACTGCAGCGATCATACACATCGTTCAAGTAATTTCGAAAGCCTCTAGGCCTTGCCAGCGAAGGGCCAAGTGAGACGGACGGCGTTAGTGTGCGATGCGGCTCGTCTTTGGTGAACGGGGAGGAGCCGCGCGGCCCGACGGCTTGGGTATGCTAGGTAGATAGGATGGATGGTTGGCCCGAGTTGGAGAAGGTCGGCTGGAAGATGCCTTGTGTGTTGTGGTATTGCGCATCCGCAGATGAATTAGCTGGAGGGAGGCGGGCTACCAAGTACCTAAACCTATAGGGATTTTCTTCGTTGTTACAAAGCAAATATAAGCCGGAAAAGTCCTTGTATAGCATCTCCGCCATTTTCTCCCGAACGTATTCAATCGGTTTCAGATCCGGGATATAGAGGTGGTGGTCCTGAACCCATGGAATGGTGTCTGGGATCCATGTTCGTTTCCACCATTCTTTTACCTTCTCTGCCGCATGGACTTTCATATTATCCTGGAGAAAAAAGGACCTGGCCGGGAGAATGGAACCAGAGCTTCCTCTAAACCCCAATTATAAATGTGAACTTACAATTCTCAAAAAACTTTCCCCACGAGATCTTGCGAAGCCTGACCAATCACCAGGGGGCAGTGACATGCATTCCGTTTCGGGATGGGACCCAGAGCACCCGAAAATGGCCTGCCAAATTCGGTAACCAGGCGCCAGAACAGCAAGCTCAAGACTTGATTAATGTGCAAGTTGGCCGTTTTATTAGTCTTGAAGGCTCAATCCGTCGCACCAATGACCAAACCAATGTGACTGAGCCAACGACCAGAATGCCACGGCCCTCGCCCGCCCTCTGTGCCCCCCCACGGTTTCTCTTCATATTCAGCAGCAAGACCGTCCCGGTTCCCGTGCGCAGATTCTTCCACCAGCAACACTCCTATCTCTACCCTCAACCAACCATGGGCGATCTCAACAACTTGGACGCAATCAGGGAGCCCACACTACCCGTCGCCGATCCCTTGTACCAATTTCGGTCGTTTCCAATACGGGCTTGCGATGACGATTCCGCGGTGCGCCAACGGTACCGTCCGTTCCTTTTGAACGACGAGATATCTAGCTCGGACTGGGTTGCGAAGCTCGAACTAGCCACGGCCGCCGAGATGGTGGAAACTCAGATTCTCTCCCAAGGGAAAGAGAGACTAAGAGTTCTCGTGCTCTATGGGAGCCTCAGAAGCCGGTTCGTCTCCCCAGCCCCAGCGATATCTGGCCACATACAGGAGCCAACGTGAATGTCGACCCTCAGATCATACTCAAAACTTCTTGCCTACGAAGCGTCCCGTATCCTCTTCCGCCTCGGTTGCGACGTGCGGGTGTACGATCCGTCAGGCCTCCCAGTCAAAGACGACCAGCAGCATGACCACCCGAAAGTCCAGGAGCTCCGGGAGCTCAGCAAGTGGAGCGACGGTCATATCTGGGTGAGCCCAGAGCAGCACGGCGCTCTTGTATGTCCTCCCACAACGCCCGGACGACCTCGTGTTTGGTTGGAAACTGACAAAACAACCGCAACAGACTGGTGTTTTCAAGAACCAGATCGACTGGATCCCACTCTCCACTGGCAGCGTCCGACCGACGCAGGGAAGGACGCTGGCTATCGCGCAAGTCAACGGTGGCTCACAGTCCTTCAACGCAGTGAACTCGCTACGCATCCTGGGCCGCTGGATGAGGATGTTCACCATCCCGAATCAGAGCTCCATTCCACAAGCTTGGACGCACTTTACCGACGCCGACGATCCGGTAGACGGAGGCAACCGCCTCAAAGCCAGCTCAAACAGGAACAGGCTTGTGGACTGCATGGAGGAGTTTGTAAAGTATACCATCGTCATGCGGCCGCACTTTGATCTGTTTGGGGATCGATTCAGCGAGAGAGAGGAGGCGAAGGCGAAGACTGCAAAGTGAATGGTGCATTGGTGCTCAATACTATCATGGATACATTCCCAGTTCCTCATATAATTTACCGAGATAGTTTGTAACTTGGAGATACGACTTGTATTTTGCATCATTGCTTATGTCGGTAGGTAACTACCTATCTTTCGAAGAAAACATGGTCTCGAGGCATCAAGTTTAAACGTGCCCTTCCCCCTTGTAATATAATCCGAGCTATATGTCTTTTCTGGCACCTGCTCTCTCCTCCGGCGCCCTCATTTCCGTTAGCAGCGCGTTCTTCCCTGCTCACGCAACTCACTTCCGATTTTCCGGATGGTGCTGCTGTTCAATGGCGGCGAATCAAGCCTTGACCGTACTTGACGCTTTCCTGTGTTCGGAAAGTGCACCCTTGGCAAACAGGCACCAAAAAGAACCTTGGAAGTTGGGATCGAGCGGGCCAGATCCAAGCCCCCAAACCGCAAGGAACAAAAAGACCACACCACACGACGCGCTTTTTCACGCGGCAAAGCACAGGCACAGATAGCAGCCTGAGCCGCAGCAATGGATTGACGCAAGGTAACGGGGTACCTGCGTTGCCGCGTTGAAGCCGCCATCAGACGCCCTGCAGGTTTTCCCGATTGGGACACGAAAACCCCCACCCCAGCCCGCGATGGCACCAAACCAGCAAGGTCAAAGCGTGGCTCTCGCGATGCATATTTGGCGAAATTGCGGCGACAAGGATTTGACGTCTGTTCTGGAAAGCCCGCGGTGGCCTTGGCGGCGCACGCCTCAGGGCTGACGTCCCAAGGTTACATGCTCCAGGTATTGCCATGTTGGCTCCGCGACTCCTCCCACTTCTGCCCGGCCCGCCCTCCTCACCAGCAACTCCCGCCGGGCCCCGGCGCGATCTCGATTGACGTACTTCGTACGGCGACGAGAAAACAACCCTAATTGACCAGACCCGGCCACGGAACGGAGCGGGGTATCGAGGATCGTCCCTGCGAGATGGACCCCGGGCTCTGAACTGAATCATGGACCCATCGACACACCAGGGATCCCCATCCCAGCCACCTCCGGGCAGCCACGACAGCAACGACAACGACCATACCCAACACCGAGTGCGCTTCGCCGAAGGAGAACCACAAGCAAGCTACACGATTCATCAACCGACCCCGAAGCGCGAACAACATCACGCCGCCGCATCCGTTGCCGCGCCACCGGCCGTGTATTGGGACAATAAAAAACACAACGATAGCGACAGAGAGAGCGATGCCAATCTTGCAGGATACACATTCTACCGGGAGGGGACACCTCCTCCGCCCGACTACGAGGGGCCGGGGAAGCGACTGGGCCGTGGAGGACCGGGGACGATAGGCGAAAGCTCGACAGTTGGCGGGGGAACAATACGCAGTAATGGCGATTACAGCATCGGTCCTCTCAACCCCCTCGAGACCAACTGGAGCCAGAACGACGGCAACAATCCGCCCCCGACAAAAAGGAGAAAGGTTTTATGGGCGATCATTGCCGCCGCCGTCTTGGTCATCGTTGCCATTGCGGTTGGTCTTGGGGTCGGCTTAGGCGTGGGGTTACCGAAGCAGAAAGGGGCTCACGCAGACGCCGTAGAACAACCCACAAGGTGTGTTAAGCCAAGCATGTCTTCGCAGAGTAGGTTCTAACCAGGCCATAGTTCAATATTGGTCTCAGGGCCCAGCAACAGCCCGGCACCAACAGACCCGCCAACCAACGCTCCTGGCGGCACCGGAGCCGCCGCAGGAGCCACAACCGGGTCAGCCGCCGCCCCACGGCCGACCTACAACTCGGATTGCCCTGCCCTTAACAACACGGTTTATAACGTGCCAGGCTCGACCATCAGCTTCCGCCGGGTGTGTGGTATCGACTACAGCGGCGACGGCGCCACTGACCTCGCACACGCCTGGACGGACAGCATGGCCGATTGCATGAACAGCTGTGCCTCCTTCAACCAGTGCACAGCGTGCGCATGGGGCTATTTAGAGGGGGACCGGGGCGGAAAGCACCGCTGCTACATGAAGACGGATCTGAAGAAGTCTCACAAAGCAGCGAGCGATTGGTGTTTTGCCATTTTGCAATAATCTTCGCGGTGGCTAGTCATGTTTACGGATAGAGACGGGAGATACCCCACGTATGACCTGCAATATTTGCTAATATATAATGAGTTATGTCCTGCCTTCCTGCGCCCGTTCTTGCCCTTTGTGAAGTGGGAATCGCATCGTCGACGCACCGCACACCACAGCAAAAAGCACGGCTTGACAGCCATTCTTCCACACCAGACGCCGCTGGAACATCTGACGCCATCCCGGGAACTACCAACTTACCAAAGCCTCTTTTTACACTGCTTCCTATCGGGCCTTCAAAGTCGGCTAGTATTGCCGTGGGGCAGCTGGAGGTAAGACGAAGGAAATTTAGCTCTAGGGGCTGGCTGAAAATCAGGTAAGCGGGCTTCTTGGGTGTTCGGAGGCAGCCGAACACCGGCCGTGGCCTGGGACGAGATAATTTAAAGATAGGTAGAGAAAAGATCTGAGTTATCAGGCACGAAAGGTTTACCCCTGAATGAAACCAGGAACTGAGGTGAGATTGGATCGCCCAGCCAGCCCGCCTCCAGTAACGACAACCCATAAGCTCAGCGTATTTTGGGCACCACCTTGGCCTCCTCCAGCTCGTCAAACACATCCGAAAAGGCCTCCCACGTGTCCTGGTACCTGAGAATCTTGTTAGCATCCAATCGCATCAACCATCCCGCTACCGACAGCCCCGGCACAGGGAAACACGAGCAGGAAACTTTACCCCGTCCACCCCGGCCGCCCTCGCCTTGCTCATGCTCTGCACAACATTCCTAGTCCCGGCCCCAGCACAAAGTCCACAAACGCCCACGTCGCCCTTCCTCAAACGCATACCCTCTGCAACCCCTCCCGCTCGGCCAACCTCTCCCACGCCGCCCTCACCTCCGCCTTCCCACTCCACTTCACCAAACTCACCCTCTGCTCCAGCACGCCCCCCTTCACCACCCCGGCACCCACCAACCCAACCTCCTCCGCCACCGCACCCACCGGCGGCGCACCCCCCAGCTCCGTCCGCCCGGCACACCCCTCCTCCCACTCCCACTCCCACTTCCCCACCACCACTTACCACCACCACCACCACCGCCACCACCAGCACCCCCCCGCCGTCTTGCTACTAAACTGGTCCTTCCTAACCACCATCCCAAACCGCCCCGCCACCCGCGGCCACAGCTCCACCCAGCTCTGCGCATCCCCATTGACCACGTTAAACGCCTGGTCGGCGGCGCGCGGCTCGCGCACGGCCCAGGCGCAGAAGCGCGCGTGCAAAGCGGCGGAGGTGAAGGTGTCGAAGCGGGTGTAGAAGGTTGGGGAGCCGGGGAAGGCCAACTCTAATTTGGCGGCGGTAGTTGTGTTGGTGGTGGTGGTGGTGAGTTCGCGGGTGACGGCGGCGTAGAGGGCGATGCCGGTGGCCAGGTTCATGAAGTTGCCTGTGGCGAAGCCGATCACGTCGTTGGGGTAGGTGACGGTCCAGTGGATGGCGGGGTGGGCGGCGCAAAAGGTGTGGAGGAGGGTTTGTTGGCGGTAGTAGAAGTTGGGGGGGTAGGGCGGCGTGGGGAGCCAGGGGTCGGATTCGAGGAGGGGGTTTTTGGGGGGCCCCAGGTGCACGCCGTATTGTTTGGCGCCGGTTACGAGGAGGATTCGCGCCGTTTTGGTGTGGTTGAGGGCGGTTAGGAAGTTGGAGAGCATGTCGCCTTGGTTGGGGGGTGGTGTTAGTATGGTGAGATACTTGTAGGGGGTTGATGGTCGGGGAGGGGCGAGACAAAAGGGAGGGGGGTGGCCATACCGTTGACTTCCCAGTTCTCCTGCTCGGTGTCCTTCTGGAGGTATGCGGCGAAGAATATGTACTCGGCTTCGACCCCTTGCAGGTCCTTGGCCATCTGGTCTGCCGAGCTCAGGAGGTCGATGTGCTTGTGCACGACATGCGAGGGGTATTCATCCTTCTTGCTGCGGGAGAGAGCATAGATCGTCTTCCATTCCTCGGGGTTACGTGACAGTTCCTTGACAATCTCCCGGCCAAGAATGCCTGGAAGACCGGTCATCAGTATGACGTTCAATCGACTGGTGGAAAGCTGTTGGCGGTTGCTTACCAGTTGCGCCGACCACAATTGCTGATGCCATGATGGAACTCGAACTGATTCGTTACACAACACTTAATTTGTTCTTTTATCTCCTCTTAACACCCAGAATTCATTCATTGACGGAAACAAGAAGAAGAGAGTGATGGCGAGGAACCCTGAGAATCCACTTCTGGTTATACCTGCTCAAGATGATGGATGACGTCAAACTCACAAGTCATGTACTGATGATCTACAAAAATGCAACAGTATCACAAACTCAACGCTTCATCACTCTGTTATCACTATCTCATTATTCATTCGTTAGCTAAGCTTAAACAGGTTGTCGCGGCTTTCAGATGTAAATCCTCAAAGATTTACTATATATCTGTAGCTCTAACGCAAGAGTCCGCTTGGCCGTGTCATTATATGCAGGCTATGAATATCCTGTAACGAGATGCTGCGAGGAGGTTAGGTTATACTACCAATTTATCATACTAGTTACTCTTAGTCCTCGAGTCTATACCGCTTCCTACCTACCGTACTATGACTTTTTACAGCAAGCGCAAACACTGTCAGTCCCTGTTGTCGGACAATCTCGAGCAAGTTTTCAAGGCAAGGTGCAGCCATCTACCAACCCTGAACTTTTCCCTCTAGTCAATGGAAGCCATCTGATGCGTGCAATGCATTTCGAAGACCTATCCATGACACGTTTCATGGCCAAGGCCCGCCGGCAGGCCTCCGAAGCTCCTCGCTAGCCAACCATACCTGCTTCGAACACACAAATCGGGCAACTCATTCCGTGTGGTTCCAGTCCCGGGTAACCGCATTTGGCATAGGTCGACGAGATCTGAGTTGTGGACTTTGCTGAGCCGGGGCAAGCGACCGCAGGTCGCCGAACTGGCGGAGGGTCTCATAGGAAAAATATATGATGAAATTGACGGTGCAAAATCGGAGAATCCCAGTTGGGTGTCGGTCACGGAAGGAACAAATAAGCTCATGGCTGCAGCTTGGCGAAGGCGCATGTGCAGAGAGGGTTGAATCGTGATTGGCATCGAATCCGCAGGTGGGACTTCCCTCGAGGTCAGTCGCCTTTATCCGCTGCGAACCTGCCTGCCGCTTCCAATTTCCTCCCACGAACGGACCTTTCCTGCTGGCTGCCTCATGCAGCATGCCCACAGCCCGGCGACCTAACGATTGGCGATTGCAGGCTGGGGACCCGGAGATGTGTCCGGAACTGCTGTTTGGCTGTCTTTCTGATTATCGCGTTACCCGAGATGGGGAGAAGGTCTAGAACATTTTCACCCCAACACACCCAAACCACCTCCCGTCGATGCATGCACGCGCGCGGGTGCCGGTGTTTTACCGTTTCACTGCACAGGCAGCACGGCCACCAGCCCACCACCACGGTACCACTCGCAATAACTGCCATCATTATTCGGGCCCGCCTTTCTCGACAGGCTTCACCGCATCTTGGCCTTCCAGGTTAGGTCTCACAAGGTTACAGAGGAATTTGCAAATTTTTCCGGTTTCTTTTCAACTGGAGCCCGAACAACACCAACTGCAACAGTCAGCAAACATGCCCTCGAGATACCTCAGAGTTGCACTGGCAGCCACTGGCAGCCCACAACATTCCCCGCTTATTATTTTCAAGTTTTTAGAGTAATTTATGATACGATGTTTCTTCAACCGACATTAGGGCAGAAGATGCGAACATGCATGCATGGCTTCCCAACTCGCTTCCCAAATGGTTGGCGGCCTGGTTGCACCCCCGACAGCGGCCATCCACCACCGGCGTCGCCGTGCCGCTCACCCCCGATGTTTCTGCATCTTCACCCGACCGCCGTTTGAAACCCGGGGAAGCATGTCGCCGTTGGATCCCCGAACGCCACCGGAACCCTGGGCCACCCCCTCCTTTACGAATAGAGTTTCTTGGAATTTGCAGAGGCTGCAGCGCCTCAGTAGCCCCTCAGTGACCCTATGGTCGACCTGGGCAGTCAGCATGCCTTCCCGATCCGTCTGCACGCCGAGAGCTGAAATGGCGGTCGAGACAAGAGGTGGCCCAATCGATGCATGGCGGCTGCACTGCTCCGCCTCAACTCATCTCAGCAATGACGCCAGACGGGGCTCCCAACCCAATCACCACAAGCGATCCCGTCGCTAATGCTGCCGGCGAGTCCAGCACAGTGGAACGGGGGGCATGGCTTGCATGAACATCCCGAATGGCCGTCACGTTACGTTCTGACATGGCGCCAGGCCGATGCGGCAGACTTCGTAGGGCTGATGGTCCACGGCCAAACTCCCCAAAGCGAGAAGTCGGCGATGGTCCACACCACCGTGATGTTTCAGTAACCGGGTCCCCGAGATCCGGCTATGCACAAAACAACAGCCAAGCCGTGGCCATGACCAGGAGTGATATGTAGAACGAGACATAATACTGCTACTCTTGAACGTCTTATATAATCCCTTACATCGCCGCCTCGGTTGTTGGTGTTGTTTAGAATCTCGGAGGCAACATCTACAATTCTACTTCGACTCCACACTCATCATCACTCCCAACTCACGGTAGCACACACACAAATACACGTGATGGCATCATCGAGGACCCTCATATCGTCGCCGCCCGATTCCCCTGTTGCGGGGCAAAAGCCTCGGCAGGTGTGGACCCCGGATGAGGACAGACTCCTCTCGGAAGCCGTAGCAAGGGGCAAGTCGCCGTCGATGAACCAACCTATCCCCGCCCGCAACTAACACGCCACAGAAACCCAGAAAGACGGCCCCATAAGCTGGCACAAGGTCGCCTGCCACCTGCCAGGACGCAACAACAAGGACTGCCGGAAGCGCTGGCACTACAGCATTGCCAACACGATACGCAAGGGCACGTGGATGCGGGAGGAAGACGAGAGGCTGCGTGAAGCCGTCGAGCTCTACGGCACGCGCTGGAGCAAGATCGCCGAGGCCGTCGGCACCCGCAACGGCGACCAATGCTGGAAGCGGTGGTACGACTGCCTCGACCCGCGCATCGACAAAAGCCCCTGGACACCCGAGGAGGTATGTCACTACACTCCGCCCCCGTCTTTCTCACCCCAAACAAAACCAAAACCTAACCATGCTCCCACCACCAGGACGCCCTCCTCCTCCACCTCGTCTCCCAAACCGGCCGCAACTGGAGCGACATCGTGCACCAGCACTTTCCCGCGCGCACCTCGCTCGCCGCCAAGAACCGCTACAGCATCCTGCGCCGCAAACAAGACGGCCTGCCCACCTCCACCTCCACCTCGCGGGGCTCGTCCTCGGTCCGCCACGCCAAGGCCCGCACTCCGGGCGGTGTCTCTCGGTCCCCCGCTCCGGCGCCGGCTACACCCTCGCTGAGCTCGAGCCCCTATCTGGGCGTAGTGGCGACGCCGTCGACGACAGCGCTGTCGACGCCCGAGCCGGAGGTGTTGGGGGGTGGTGGTGGCGGTGGTGGGGTGCAGGGGGGAGATTGGATGGCGTTGGCGGCGGCCGAGATTGATGAGATGCTGTATCGGGGGGCGCAGGGGATGGGGATTGGGGGGGGGGAGTTGGATTTGGATATGGAGTTGGAGTTGGATTTGGATCGGGGGTTTGGCGGGTTGTCGACCGGGTGGGTTCAGCAGCAGCAGCCGCAGGGGTATCAGTATCAGGGGCTGGATTCGTGCCAGCAGGCTGGGGGGTTTGATGCGAGTTTGGTGGATCCGAGGATGCAGCAGGAGGGGTATGGGAATGGGGAGTATTATGCTGCTCAGGGGCAGCAGCAGTTGGGGGTTGGCGGGTATGGGTATGACGGCAGCAATATGTTGGGGGTTTATCAGGGGGGCGTTCAGATTCAGGTGACGCAGCCGGGCATGTATGATGGGAGTAGTGGGCTGGTGGGCCAGAGTCAGATGGGGAGCTGGCAGGGCGGGTACGCTGCCGGTGGCTGGTGAGGGTTGGGGGTGTTCTCACATATCCCTCACTGCTGGCGGTGGATAGGGATGGGACGTGTACATACAGACAAGAAGTTGTCTACTTTGAGTGTCTACACCCAGCGCTCCGAACAGTTCAATTTTTTCAGTTCAGTAGTTCAATCCAATCAATCCAATCCAATCCAATCCGGCCATTTTGGGCCTCAGTGCAATCCAGATCCAGCTCCAGGATTGAACTGAGCTCGATTGAACTTACAGGGTTAGGGTTATAAGCGACAATACTTGCCGTTATCTGATAGTGAGGTACCGAACGTTATCGATAACTAACAGTCTCGTTGTTCAAACAGGGTCAATCGCTGTTGGATTGAACTTGCCATCATCAACCGCCCTTCGACCAGGTCCAACCCTACCGCCCAATGGCTACCTCAGACACGAGCTCTACTGCCACATCCCCGACGAATGCCGCCGTCGTCACCGGGCCTGTCGTCACCACCGAAAACAGCACCTTTTCGAGGCTTGGCCATGCGCTTTCCCTAGTTCAGCAGATCGAGGCGCTTGGGGAGGACCCTCCAGCGTCAATCGTCCCCGAGCAATGGCCTGTTGTGACCTGCAAGAAGGGCCTCAAGTACGTACCTGAAAACTGGCTAGATAAGCGGCAAGACAGGCGCTCTTGGGTGTGGAAATACGGCTTTTGCGTTGCCCTTGTCGTCGATCCAACTGGTTAGTTTTATTTCTCACAACAGCGCCCTCAACGCTTATCGTTATAATAACCGATTATTTATACAGTCAAGATGAAGGCGAAAAGCTTCCATTTCGTCTGCAAGCGATGTAGTGCAACGTTCAACGCTCAATCGACTTCGGCCGCACGAAGTCATCTCGAAGAACAACACCGTATTTTTGACGATAAACCTCACTCGAATTCGAACGACCCCCAAGCTACAACATCAAGAAAACGAGCTGCAACCAACCACAGTATTAGCGAGATGTTGAGCCGCAACAAGAACAAAAAGTCGACGGCCGTGGTTCCAAGAACCCAAGGGGAGCGCTTTCGTTACCTCCTTGTTTGTTGGATGGCTACGGCAAACATTCCGTTCGCCGCGGTGGAAAACAAGTATTACCGTCAAATACTACAGCTCTTCAACGCTCCATTAACTGACGCCCTTCTTCCAAAAGGGGGGGATACAACAAGAAGCTGGCTCACAAGTATGTATCACGATCTTCTTGATTCAATCAAGATTAAGCTCAAGGCTTCTCCACATCAGAAACATCTCTCTTTCGATCTGTGGACCTCCTCTCATGGCCTTGCGCTACTCGCAGTCGTTGTTCATTACTTTGAGAGCTCTGGAAATTATCAAACACACCTCCTGACTCTGTCACGGATTACGGGGACTCATGCTGGCGAGAACATTGCACCTGGTGTTCTAGACGTCATCAAGACGTTTGACCTACAGCCCTGCCTTGGATATTTCCAAACCGACAATGCAGATAACAACGATACGGCAATGACAAAGGTCCTTTTACACCTCAATCCAACGCTTTCCCCTGCGCAAGCCATCGCCCTCAAATGCAAGGTCCGGGTCCGTTGTTTCGGGCACATATTGAACCTTGTTGCTAAGGCCTTCCTTCAAGCAACCAACAAGAAGCTCATCAAGTCCCTGGCACCGGAATCCCTGGCACACCACAACGCAGCGGAAGAGGGAAGGCTTCTTCAGGAATGGCGCAAGTCTGGCCCTATTGGAAAGCTCCACTTCCTGGTTCATCACATTCGCCGCAGTCCTCAACGCCGGGATCTGTTTTCGGATATCGCTAAGGGCAAAGTTGACAGAGGAAGAACAGCAAGAATTCGGCGCTATTCTAATCGACAAGGACATTGCAAAGCTGCAGTTGCGATTCGGACAATGAGACTCGATGGCATTCAGTCTACCACATGATCGACCGGGCAATCATGTTACGTGATCCTCTGGATTATATTCGTCAACATCGTGACCAAGAAGGATCCAGATAATATCACGAGCGATGACCAGCTTACGCCTTCAGAGTGGGTGGTGCTCAAAGAGATCCGTTGCATCTTGGAACCGTTCAAAATCATTACAAAGAAGTTTGAGGGCCGGAAACCAAACTTTGCGGACGTCGTATCACATGCCTACACCCTGCACAGGAACCTCAACGAACTCTATCAACAGTATGCCAGAACAGCCAGTCAACATCACGATTTCCATGGGGGTCCCTGGGTTGGTATACGGCCACCGTCGCCGGCCCTGGGAAACTCTCTCAATCCCGGTCGGATGCAGTCGCTTTCGTCAGACCCAGACCCAGATATTGAACCCCCAAGTCAACGTGTTGAGCCTCCAAGTCAACGGCGGTCTGGGCGAACAATCCGGCCTCCAGCTCACTTGGACGACTTTGAAGTTGACCTCCCAGCACTTGGATATCGGCCCTCTACCACAGAGCCCCACCCAGCGCCATCGCCACGCCCTCAACAGCGCGTTGTTCAACTTGGGGAGGTAATTGACGATGAAGTTGATGATACTGGGTATGCCTTTATCCAAAAGAGTCTCAAACTTGCCATTGAGAAGCTGGAAAAGTATCTGGCGATCATGGACGCCACCCCAGCTTATTGGGCGGCAATGATACTACTTCCGAACTGTAAGATGCGGTGGATCGAGCGTTTTTTTACAGATGATCCGCTTAAGTCGTCCGACATTCAAGCCCGGTTCCGGGTTTTCTTTGACCACAATTATCCTCGACCGGCTCCGGATTCATCAAACGGGTCCCGGGACCGACCTTCACATCGCCCGGCGTTTGGGTATGACTTCTATGACCCTCCGGATCGCGTATCCGTTGATGAGGTTAGTGTCTACCTCAATGAGCCGGTTCTGCCACTAGAAGAGACCCCTTATCAATGGTGGTGGCGTAATCGTGACCGTTTCCCACGGCTTTCCAAGATGGCATTTGAGTTGTTATCTATTCCACCCTGTTCAACAGAATGCGAGAGGTGTTTTAGTGCATCGAAGTTGGCCCTGGGTCATCAGAGAAACCGCACGCACGAGGAAACCCTTTGTATGCTTCAGTGTATCAATAATTGGCTGCGGATTCTAGATAGCTAGAGCAGGAGGAACGCCAGGGAGTGGTGTGACTGTTGGGGAGACCTTTTGGGGGCTGAGCGGAACGGATCAGCTGCTTCCGGGGGGTAGGCCTTGGCAGATTGAACTAAACAGTTCAGTTCAATCTGAGGAACAGTTCAGTTCAATCGCACCTCAAAATCTTCAATCCAATCCAATCGGGGACCCAGGATTGGATTGATTGAACTGTTCGGAACGCTGTCTACACCATGGGTTGCATTTGCATGGCTTGGAGTTAGGCTGGCTAAGTGCCAAGAAGGATATCGTTATAGACTTGTAATTGAATAGAAAGAATCATCAAAGTGGTCCGGTCGTGAAAAGGTTCCGGGTTTTCGTTTTTAACCACATCACTAACAGTTCAGCCGTCCAACTTAGCAACCCCCGACTCCCCTGAATCTCTTAGTCCTGACCTGACACCTGGCCCCCACGAGACCCCCGTCGTCGAGTGGGTCTCGCCCCATGACCAACATGCCAAGATGAGAGATCCTCGTCGTCTCGGCTTCTCGGCCTGTTCCACTTATCAAAAGATCTGATTAGATCTTGGTCTGTTGGGCCGACCATCACCGCCGTTCCCTAGGCGCCCAGGCACCCACAACTTCTCCTCATTTCGTTTGGTCCGCATCTCCGTCGCTGTTGCCAACTTGCCTTCACAACAACCCTCATTCCGCGATGGAGGGCACACAACTTTGCCTGCGGATGCAAGGCGCCCTGCGGAGCACATTACCAGTGTTTCTGCGAACCCTCTGTCCAACAGGGCCGAAAGCGGTCAGCGCGGACGACGACGACGACCTGGATTGGATGAATGACCCGGAAAAGGTGGAATACATTCAACAACTGCTAGAATCCCTCTTCGAGGCCCGATACATTGTTAACTGCTATAACATCGCTATTGCCATCGTCATCCTCGTGTTTACCGTGTGGCACTGGCACGCGACCAGGAGCGATAATCGGAAATGGCAATTGTTGAGGCAACGGTCAGCGGCTGACAGAGCTGACGGCGCAGCTTCCCCTTCCGCTGCGTCGTCGTCAAGCAGCACAGTGGCCGGGGCAGCAATACCACCTACGGATGCCAAAGACATCGATATCGAGCGGGTTCCTCTCTTGGCGCGTGACAGAGCATCAAGGCCACGAAAAGGGAACCAAACCAGCAAAGCAATCAAATCCTGGCTTGCGTATCAACCGCAGCCCCTGTCCATCATCAACAGGACCCTCCCGTGCAACGGGACGTCCCTATTCATCTTGGCCTGGCTGGGCCTGAACGTCTTCTTCCACTTCTACCGCCTCCCGATGCGCTGGGATTTCTTCTTCATCTTTGCCGACCGCACCGGCTGCGTCTTCGCCGTCAACCTGCCGCTGCTTTACCTCCTCAGCGCCAAGAACCAACCCCTCTGCCGTCTCACAGGCTACTCCTACGAAGCCCTCAACATCTTCCACCGGCGGGTGGGCGAGTTGCTCTGTTTCGAAGCCGCCATGCACTTTGTCAGCATGATCCTCTGGCAGTTTCTGCTCGCGCGCGAGTGGCTGATTGCCTCACGGTCCGCCCTCACCTATTTTACGCATCCCATCATCCTTTGCGGCATCGGCGCGCTGGTCTCGTACGAGGCCCTCTACTTCACCTCGCTCGCCTCCTTTCGGCAGCGGTGGTATGAGCTGTTCCTCGCGTCGCACGTCGTCCTCCAGATCGCTGCGCTCGCCTTCCTCTGGTTCCACTACGAAACCAGCCAGCCCTTCGTCGCGGCCTCCCTGCTCATCTTCCTCGCCGACCGCCTCGTATGGCGGCTGACGCTCAAACGCACCACCCTCACCGCGGACTTGCACATCCTCGACAACGACACCCTGACCCTCTCCGCCAACTGGGCCATCCCCCATCCCCCACCCCAGCCATGGTGGCCGCGCGTACCGTGGGGACATGGAAGCCAACAATCCATCCTCCACGGCTGGCGCCCCACCGACCACGTCTTCCTCACCATCCCCCACCTCCCCAGCAGCAACACCTTGACCTGGCCACACGCCCTCCAAGCCCACCCCTTCACCATCGCCTCCGCCGCCCCCCAAACATTCCCCCACCCCTCCCCATCCTCAACCAACCGCCCCCCACGCCTGGCTAACCCTCCTCATCCGCGCCCACACCGGCTTCACCCGCGACCTGCTCCGCCACGCCCAGCAAGGCAGTTGCCCGTCCCGCGTGGCGGTGCGGCTGGACGGGCCGTATGGCTCGCCCCACGCGCTGGGCATGCTGCGGGGGTCGGGGTGCGCGGTGCTGGTGGCGGGGGGGAGCGGGATTGCGGTGGTGTGGGGGTTGGTTTGGGCGCTGCTTTTTGAGGGTGATTATCAAGGTGATGAGTCAGGTATGGGTGGGGGGGAGATTGTTAAAGGAGTGGGTGCACGTGGGTGTGGGAGGAAAAGGAGGCGGGTGTGCCTTTTGTGGGTGACGCATTCGCGCGAGCATCGGGAGTGGGTGCCAAGCGGGCAGCTGGCCGAGTTGGTGGAGCGCGGGCTGGAGCTGGTGATCCCGGAGCCGACGGCCGAGGCTGGACGGCCCGATGTGACGGGCCTGGTGGGCGGGTGGATTGGCGAGGCGACGGTTGCTGGGGAGGAGGTGGGTGTGGTGGTGTCGGGACCGGATGGGCTGAACCGGGCGGTGAGGAATGTGTGTGCTGAAGAGATTGGGAAGGGGAGGAGCGTGCGTGTGGCGGTGGAGAAGTTTGGGTGGTGATTTTGGGGGAGGAAAGAGGTTGTGGATGCGACCAGGTGCACGGTAGACGAGCATGATACATATAGTGACAAGCATAGAAGTCCGAGAGAGAGTGTGTTCATGTATTCGAAGAAGAACCATAGACTTCGGGAGTTGGTTTCCAGCATATCGTGAGCAGTAATAGATTAGGTGGTTAAGACTCTGGGATTTCAACATCGGGATGTTGACGTGGTAAACCATGTTGGCTTCGGTAAGGCCACAGGCTTGTTCCGATTGTATTTCCATGGTTATGTTAGTGGTTGATCAGGTTTGTGGTCTCAGTGGTACGCCAGGTGAGAGGTCTATGACGGCAGTTAAGAGTTTCAAGTTCGGGTTCTATAATGGCATATAAGCATCCTCAGCGGACCCCGGGAGTTTAGTTCAGTCGATACCTGTACATGACATGACATACTACCTATACTTGGAGTCATCCTGGGCCTATTCTTATCCTTCGCACTGCACACACAACTCGCCTTCTACCCAACTAAAACATCACGTCCCGCATCCTTGTACCTCTAGCCTAGATAGAGGTGCTAGACCTAGGCAACTCCTAACATATCTAGGCAACATGCAGATCATAGCCATGTGACCGTTCACAACTTCGCAGGGTCTGAGCGCCATCACCTGTCTAGGTACCTACCACTACGCTCAGGCCTTATCGCCTATGTGTGAGATAGATAAGTGTATGCCTTGTGTGCCTACACAATTAGCAATAGCACGGTCCCCCGAGCTTCGTTGTTTAAGAAGTCCGCCCACCCCGTCTTTTCTCCCATTTCTTCCCATCCCTCAAAAACATCACTCCTCAAAAATAAAACCACCCAGCACCACCCAACAACACCACCCATTTGCTGGTTGGTTTTTTTCTCTTCTTCCTAGGACGGCATCTTCCCGCGTCCAGGGCTAAAAAAATAAACAACATTACTTTTCGCACCACATCACTGTCACAATGGGCAACTCGTACCAGAGAAAACCGAACACAAAGTACAAACTTCCAATCCGTAAGTGCCCCCTAAGATCCCCGTAACACTAAAAGTCTAACAATCTCTTGATTAGAATGGACAGACGAAATCCGCCACAAACACTGTGGTGCCGTTGACATCGGTCGAGACGGCAAGCCTAACAAGGCTCATCGGTGTAAGGCGTGCCTCGCCGTCAAGGCCCGAGAAAGCAAATTGCGCAACGGGCCTGATGATATCAAGCTTGGAAGGGAGGAAAAAATGGAATTAAAGTTTGGTGATGTCCAGCAAAAGAAAGAGAAATAAATAATTTTTAAAGAGAAATCAATAGCTATATTTAATACTAACTAGTTATAACTAACTACAAGATTGTACTATCAGTTAGTTCAGCATGGTTAGCAACAAGCTAGAGACTATTTGGACAGAGATGTGAATTTCGGATAGCACCCCAACTTAACCCATACCGGTGTTACACAGCAGCTATAGAAGACAAGCAACAGCAGGCCAGCAGTATACCAGTATATAAGCCCCATCGTTGCGAGACTGTAAGCCTAACAAAGTCCGCCGGTGCAAGGCCTGCCTCGCCATCAAGGCCCGACATAGCAAATTCCGCTACGGCCCGACAACATCAAGTTCGGGAGGGAGAAGATAGAATTGAAGTTTGGTGATATCCAGCAGCAGTCATAGCCTGGTCAGTTGGCTTGCAGCATATATTTTACCCGCCACGCAAGCCACGTCGTCACACAAATACCAGAGTCGAACATCAGTGCACCCGACAGCCACCTGCCAACGGGCACTCGGGTTCTGTTAAAAGAAAACGCGATTCCAATTCCAAACTATCCTTCCATCTCACCGCCAGGGTATCTGTCTGCATCATCCACGGTCATTCATACACATCACCACATCGCTACCTATCGTATCAACATCCATCCATTAGCACCTCCCCCCAGCCCCACCCTCATCACCACAACCCCCCTCCCCCCCCTTTCCTCCCTCACTCCGCCTCATATTCCTCACCCTCCACCACAACCACCACATACCGCCTCGACGCCACCTCCTCAAACCCCTCACCCCCCAACCCCCACCCTCAACCTCCTCCGTAACATGCACCGCATGCCCCCTCCCCCCTGTACCCCATCTCCCACGCCACCCGCCACCATCCTCGCCGTCCCATCCACAGCATTAATAGCGACCGTATGATGGCGATGGCGCTCCAGCAGGGCCGGCGGGGCCGCGCCCTCAGAGAAGACCACGACGCGAGCGCTTCTGCCGCACCCTCTCAACACCACCCCCACCGCCACCATCACCATCACCGCCATTGCCGCTCCCGCCGCCTGCGGCCGTGTCCCGCTCCTCGTCGATCACGTACAGGCTGCCGGCGGCGAGCAGCGGGTCCGTTGCGGGTGCGTGGGGGGCTTCGCGCATGACGTATCGTCGTTCGGGGGCCGTGGTGGTGGTGGTGGAGGTGGCTGATGGTCGGCGGGAGGTGCTGCTGCTGGTTTGTTGCTGTTGAGGCTGCTGGATGGGGGGTTTCGAGGGAGGCTTGGAAGCGGACGGAGGAGGTGGAGGAGTCGATGCTGCCCGGGCCGGCGGTGGTGGCGACGGAGAAGTTGTCGACACTGAAGTGGCGGCGCTGTGAGCGCGGCTTGCGGTCTCCGTCGCTGCGGGTGTGCGGTGATACGTCGTCGGAGCCTTGTCTCCGCGCGTAGCGGTCCTCCTTGTTGCCGTAGCCCTCCGCATGTTCGTGGGGACCGCCGTTGGAACGGTCATTCGCCAAGAACGGCGCCGACTCCTCGTCGGAGGCCGGTCCTAGGCGGCGAGTCCGGGTCTCAGGGAACGGGTTCCCAATCCAGCCTTGGAGGAACAGCAGGGATGTGACGCCCGTTGCGGCAGCAAGTACGGCCAGGGACTTGGTCATGGTCTGCCAGCCCCAGAGGTAGCTAACGGCGCCAGCAAAAAGCGGCCCGGCAAGGCTGCCCCAAGCGTTTGTAACGCTGAGAAGGACAGTCGCCTGCGCTGTGGCGCTCGAGGAGTCAGGCGTGGAAGAACCCAAGACACTTGCGATTTCCTTCGACAAAGGGTCTCCGCAGAGGCCAGTGGCAAGAGAGATGCCGCTAAGCGTCAGGAGAAATGCATGCTGCACAAGCTGGGTGTTATCTTTGAGTTGGCCCAAGTAAAGGAAGGCAGGGAGAAGAGCCAAAAAGCCGGAGGTGGTGAGAAACCGGGTTGACTTGGGCACGTGCTTGGCCAGAGTGCCAGAGAGCAGCCCGGCAACGGCAGCAGGGGCTGAGAGCGGAACGAACATGTATCCGCTTTCGAGCACCGACCAGTCAAAGTGGCGCTGGACGAAGAGCGGAAGGACGCTCTGTAGTGCCGAGGCAATAAGACCAACGACAAGATATCCGCCCAGCGCAACCGAGAGCCGGTTCCATATGGCCGCAGCAGTGAGCGCTCCGGAAGGGTTAGGCTGGCTCAATTCTGCAGGTATCGATGTGGGCGAGATTGACCGCGAGGACCTCCTGCTGTGAGTCCCAGATGCCGAAGCTATCGTACCGTAGCTGCCACCTTGTAGTGTTTCCGACTCAAGAAGCCCGGTTGTCTCGTCCGTAGAGCCAGTCCCATTTATGAGAGTAACACTGGCAACCATCAAAACCAACAGCATATCGAATGCAATGATGGCATAGGCGAAGTAAAACAGGGCGTCAGGGCTGTAATGGTCGTGCAAATAGCCGGCGATGAGGGGCGCTGTCGCCATGGCGGTGCTCTGTAGGAAGGCAGGCGAGAGCCACCTTATCTCGGTGATTGCTGCGGTCGCAAGCAGCCCAGACGATGCCCCTGTGAAAGCAGCTGCCGCAAAACCCTGGAGAGCACGCGCCAGGATCAACAACGAGAGGTCGGAGGAGAACTGCAAGAGCGCAAAGGCAGCTGCGGCACAGGCCCAGACCTGCAAACAGCACAGCGTAGCCTTTTGGTCCCTGCCGTGTGATGAAGGGTATCAAAGCTTTGGGGAGAGGGTTAGCTGGGTACTCAACATGCCCAGGTTGCTGACCGAGTGCGGAACTCACGAGACACCACAGCAAAGGCACCACCGTAAGCAGCGACAAGAACTGATGTCCATATCTGGACTAAGGAGGAGAAAACCCGTCAGCAAATTAATCCCTCCCCCAACCTTCATTATGCGTACCTTGTTGCTGGGGGACATGAGCTTGGTGTTGCAGGATGGTCGGAATTATAGGGATAGCCTGATCGATCCAGTCAGTGGGAAATTGGGAAGGGCCCAGCAAGCATGTATTCGGGGGAAGGGCAGACTTACGAGACCCGAGAGGAACACATCCTGTGGTTCATGACGGTGGTTAGCAACGGGCAGGACAACTGGGATTGTCCAAGGCGCATCAACTCACGGCGAAGGCAGTAAACCTTCCCAATACCACGAGCAACGACATGGTGCGGGGTTCAGGACCCTGGCTCTTAATCCCAGTGCAAACTGCGGGTGGTCTAAACTCGATATCGCCGTTGTGGTTGGCGAGCCGGCGTTTGTGCCTGTGCCTAGGATCGGTGGAGTCCTGCTCCGGGCTGGCTCCGGTCGAAGTTCGGATGGGATCTGCAAGCTGTGACGCGCGGAGCTCGGGTCGCTAGGTGTAGAGCCTTCGGTAGGTATGCTTATCGAGGATATTTATGCTACCATTCTGCGAGCTTGCGTGGGCTGGTGTGTTTCCGTCTGTCCCAGTTTAGTCCGTCTCGCGTGCTGTGCGTGGTTGTGGTGGTGGTGGTGTTCGTGTACCCCTCGCGTCAAGATTAGATGTTTTAGGTGGTTTTGCTTCTGGATTTGTCGCGTTCAGGCACTCCAGTCCCAGGTTCAGTTCCGTGACCCCAACTCGGCCGACCAGCACAGAAACCGACCACCAAACTTCAAATCACCGGGCGAAGATGAGAACGCAGAGTTCCTCAGCTCCCTCCAGGGAGGAGAGAGAGGGGCAGAAAAAAACCGAGGGCCGTTGTTTGGTTATCTTTCACAACAGCAAGACCTCAGCTGGTCACACCCCAAGCTGTCAGAGGGGCATTGGCCAACCAGATGCCTGTTTCTCCCCCGAGACCCCCAAACCCCCCCGCCTCCAGCACTCAGCACCCCGCCTTGGGCTGCATGTGGTTTCCTCGATTGGATGAACCGAGCGCCAAGCTTCTTAGCTCGCGCAACTCCCAAACTTCCAGGATTCCTCGAAATCGACGGTGTCCCTCGCCATAAAATGACGGTATCTAACCTACTACAGCTAGACTGTCCAGACGCCCACAGCAAAAGTTTGCAGCGAAGTACTTCGTACCCCCAGCTCTCCCCCGGATACTAGGAGACTGCGTTGTAAGATGGATCGATTGACTCACTACCAACCTGGAAATGTAGATAGATCACTTAAAAGCGTGTCACGAATATGCCAACAGGTGGGACTCGGGGCGCGGGACGCCCCGAGCCAATCGCTAGGCGGACCAGTCAGGACAAGGAACAGGGACATCAGTCAAGCGGCAAGGTGCTAAGGTGCTATGGTGCTAGGACAGAACATAGCACATAGCAACATAGCACCTGGCGTCCCATAAGGAAAAGTACGGAGATACTTCGAGTCCTAGAAAGTATATAGCCACGAGTTCTGGAGGACTCTGGGAGTTCTCCAGTTAGCAATCACAACTACAGTTCGCTACAAGCTCGGAAGCCTACTGTTGAGACAAGTCTTTGTTGTGCACCCTCTGACTGCACCGAACCTAAGCACCCTTGAGAGATTACCTTCAACCGAAACTGAACCCTAACAGGACAGGGTCCTGGAGTAGGTTCGTCACACGTCGTATACGCGGGACTATAAGGGATTCGCTCATGGCGGCCTGACTAGGTATGGTAAGTAAATCCGCACGGGACTTCATTTAGGTACCCCTACCATCATGGACTGATCAAAACAAGGTTTCGCAACCCAGCGTCCCGACCATCCGCCGCTTGCCCTCCAAGATGTTCCCAAATCGCTTACCTACCCTCGACACCACGTTCCAGTCTTGCGCTCCGAGATGAGAAAAAACACCAATCACATAATTCAATGGCCAGACCTCGGTTGGTAATGTAAGGCGACCCTCAGAAACAACCACATTTCAATATATAAGGCCAGCTCCCGAGATTCGGACAAGAGACGCCTGGCTCTACGCAATCCGAAAGTCCCGTGCCGCAGCGGCAGCATTCTCCCACGAGAGCGCCTCGCCGTTCATGATGCCATACACGAAACACTCGCCCACCAGCGAGTAGACACCGGGCACCGCGCCTGGACGGAGCAAAAACGGCGTACTCCCGCCATGCAGCACCGCAACAACATCCCTCACCTCGGCATGCCACGGCGCCAGCCCCATATACCCCCGCTTCGACACCAACAGCCGGCGGTGACCACAAACCGCCCGGACCCGCCGTGCGTACTGCCCCACACACCCGGGACCGGCCCCCGGCCCCACTGCCCCAGCACGTTTAAACCGCTCCACAGCATAGTCCCTCAGGTCCCGGAACGGATTCCGTAGCGGCGCCCGGTGCTGCTGCCGCTGCTCAGAAACGGCGGTTTCGGCCATGTTGCCCGCCGCCGCCGCCCCTCCCGCCGCCGGGCCGTACCAGCGCTCGAGCACGACCGCATGCTCGGCAGGGGCGCTGCGCTCGCCGGCAAAGTCACCAATATACGTCCGCCAGAGCGCCGCGCGCCGCCCACCACCCCCGTCACCGCCCCCGTCCCCATCTCTGTCTCTGTCGCCGCCATAGGGGTCGGGGCACGCCACCGGTGTCGTCAAAGCCAGCGCCTCCCACTGTTCCAGGGCGGCGATCTCGGTGCGCGAGGCGGGTGGTGGCTGGTCGCGCTCGGGGTGCCAGGGGGTGCCGAGCGCGGCGACCGCGTCGAAGCGGATGCCGTGGAGGACGAGGGTGTGGGGGTCTGGGTGCGGTTGGGGCTGGGCGGGGAGGAGCTTGGCTGCGCCGTAGCGAGGCCGGGGGCTGGAGGCGTCGTCCTCGAGCTAGTCGAGGAGGGGGGATGGGTCGGCTGCACTGCGGCGGGCCCAGTTTGCGGACCAGGAGGGGAGATGAAGGATGTTGTTTGCTGTGGCGCCCTCGGTGGGGGTGGGGTTGGGGGTGGGGGTAGGGCTGCGCTCCACACGCACGTAGTTGAGGATGTCGAGGGTCCCGCTGTGTCGTTATCATCTTGCGGGCGAAATCTGCGTATATGTGTACCGCGCTTTATGGGGGTGCTGTAGTCGGGCACCATGCCCGCTTCGAGGATGCGAGGTGCCAGGTTGAGGAAGCCGTAGATCCTGTCTCTGGGGTCCTCGCACTCCAGCCACCGGAACTCGTACAGCAGCCCATAAGGGTTCAAATCCCGTTTCCCGTCGCTCCACTTTTGACGAAGTGCGTGGATGGAGTGGTAAAGCCTAAGAAAGTCCATGGCCTCGGGACGGACTCCCTCCCCGACATCCCCTCCCCAGCGGAGTCTCCCAGGTGCCTCCCACGTCCACTCATGCTGCCCAACCACAAAAATACAATACGCCGAGCCCAAGAACCGCTTCCTGAACAAAAAGACAGGCGCGGCGGCGTCCGCACATCCCAGTCGGGGCAAGGAACCCCATAAATTCCAGCGCCCTTCACGGCCGACGACTCGCCCCATCCGGACGCATAGCTGGCGCGCTTCGGCATAGACGCGCGGCAGAATACGCCACCGCTGCTGCTGCTGCTGATGCTCCGTCCCGCACCGGTCCCTTTGGTCCAGGCAGACGGCGTCGATCCAGATGCTTCTCGGGGACCCAGATGGAGGCCGGAGACGGCGTAGCGCTGCTAATATGGGCTCGCTGACGGGGATCGGCGTATCGTTGAGGGCGGTGGCTTTGGACTTGTTGGCGCCCCAGAGGTGGGTGAGGATGTCATACTTGGGGGCGGACGACAAGGGGACTGTTTCGAGGCGGCAGCGGATTGGTGCGTCGAGGGGTGCTGGGAGTAGAACTAGTAACCGGATTTTGTCTCCGCTTGGATCTTGGGGGGTGTGAAGGAAGGGTTTGGCCATGGCTGAAAGCTGGTGTTGTTGAAGGAGGTGTGGTCTTTTTGGTGGGTTGGGTGCGGCTGAAAGACACGGACCAATACTTTCTGGGTTTCTCTCCATTCACCGCATAACCCTGCATTCAGTCATGACACCGAACCAAACGGCTCCTATTACGTGGGAATAAAAGTTGGCTGGCCATGGAATAGAAAGAATGGTAGTTAAGCGTTGGCGCTATATTATCCAAATTTACAAACAACGACCCTGGTCTACCGAACCCCCCCACCTCCGACCCTGCATATGGTTCTCCCTGAGTTTACTTTTACTTTTTCTGCTTTTCTTGACTTATTTTCCTTTTTAATTCAGCCTCCTTGTCCGTTTGAGGGTGCTCGTTCTCGAGTGTATCCGCCATCACACCCCGTTACCTGCGATCTGCAAAGCGACGTTGACCCGAGCGCCGAGTTGCATTGACCCGTCCTACCGGACTATTGCCCCATCCTCCAGGTCCCTCAAAGTTACATTGACATGGTTGCCAGCGCCTGAAAGGTGAAGGATGTGGCCAGTGGCAGAATGAAGTTCGAGAAGTTGTGCCAACGGGGGGTCTATACAAGGGTGTGAGAAAAGTGTTCCGTGAACAGGGAATTGAAACTGGGCCGTCAGAAAGGGATAGAATTCCTGGTATTAGTGGTATTTGCAGCAGCACGTGTACGCGCTGAAGAAGATGTCGAACTTCCCGAAAAATTTGTGCTTTAACTAAAAACAATTGCACTTGCAAGGAAGTGAGAAGCCATCCCATTAAACAGCTAAAGATCCATGATCCAAACTACCTACATAAGTTCCGAAACCCCCAAATCCAAAACCAGACATCAGACTAACACAGCCCGGTGGACAAGCAAAGCGAAGTTCCGACCCCAACATCGCTATATTGAAGACCTCACGCCAATCCATGCACACGTAAGTTACATGATCCTAGCTATTAAGCGCTGCCAAAACGCGTCTTAGCAACGCAGCGGAAAAAGCCTACTTGCGGCAAGACTCCCCCGTCACCTGTACAACAGCTTTCGAGTTTGCCGGCTGAACCTTGTTAGGGCGAGTCGGCAAGGTGGTGGTAGCACCCAACTTAGTCTTCGTGTTGTTGCCAGCAGTCTCTGTGGTCGTTTGCTGGCTTGTCTTGGCGTGAGTTGTCGCGAGCTTAGTTGTTGTCTTCTTTGGGGATGCCGTGTTGGAGGCCAGCACCTTGGATCTGGGGGCTCCGCGGCTGTTTTAACACGACCGTCTTTGGGGGCGCCGCCTTAGATGTAGACGTGGTGGATGCCGCCGTCTTTCATGCAGTGTTGGCTGTAGCCTCTCCTCGCCTCCTGTTTCTGTATTAGCTCCCGAGTTCCTTTCTACCCTTTGGTGTTGTACAACGACGGCCAGATCTCTGATGAGCGTAGCCGCCACCGCCGCCCCCTGCCGGGGTATGGATAACCACCCCTCATTCAATAACCACAGATTTTTCAGGAGACCATGATGTCCGGTTCCTCCAAAGAAGGAACTGTACCCCCACGCCACCAGAGGCTCCAGCTCCAGCTCCCCTATCTCCGTTTCAAGGCGGTCGGACCTCCCGTTCGGCTTCCTGCTCCTCGAACTTATGTTCCGCCAAATCTGAATTCTAGTCTGCCCGATTTCTTCCCACAAGTGATCACGTCTCCTGTCCCGCTCTTTCGCTGCCCTCCGTTCCTCTTCTTCATCGTAGATCTGAACTCTTCGGTTACGTTTGACTGCGGTTGCGCTGTCGAATATGCCCATGAGAATTCCCTCGTTCTCCTGAATCTGCCTTTTAATTGCATGCATCAATTCTCGGGTCCGTCTAATCTTGTCGCGCAGCTGGGCCAACGGGGCCAGTTGCTGGTGTCTCTGCTGCACGACGCGATTGAGGTTCCGCCGTTGCTGAGTTCGCACACTTTTCAACTCCTGGATCCGAGCCAAGGCTAGATCCTTTGCCCCCCCCCCCCGGGCCCTTAGTCTCTCGCGAAAAGCTCATGGTCGTCAAGTGGTTGTTCCAAAGCTGCTAGTCCTGGGCACGTCCTCCTACTAGGTACCGAAGTAGTTAGGCTCAGTCAATAACACGGGCCGACATGGGTTAGCCAGTAGGCGTACCTGAGATATGTGAAGGGACACGGATACGAATGAGTGCCTTGTAAAGGTATGATGGTTTTTGTCCAGAAAGAGCGGTACAACGTATGCAATCGGATAGAGTAGGTTGTTGCGACTAGTGAGACAAGAATCGCGGATCTCTAACAGCGGCAGAGAGCTTGTTTCTTATACAACTAGCGAAAAGGCTCAAGCATGGGTGCCTCTGCTTCAATTTCGATATGAAGCAGGCTGCTGGGCAGATCTATGTGGGCACACCACGGGCACACGGGCACTGGGCCCCGACGAACTGAGACAAGTAACAACATGAAGCTAGGCCACAGACCACCAAACCTAGAGGCTAACTAAAGGCCCGTCCCCCCATGTTTCGGGGACTGCCCATGGGCACACCTAGTTGGAACCACACGGCTAACGGCGGTCGCGCTGGTCGGGTGCAAGGGCTCCCGCTTTAACCCCTGGTATTGCGTGAGGACTTGGCCCTAGAAGGCGCCCAAATCAGCCTCACCTCCGGCGCAGCTGGGGTGTACCCCGGCAGAACTGTTAGCCGTACAGCGAGCTACTTGGTCGAACAACTCGGCGATGTGACAAGCCAGGGCCAGAAACCTACAGAACCGGGTCAACGATCCCACATCTCCTTGAGATGGGCTTATGTCCAGCTATCCTAGGCCCATGCTTTGGCCCTTTCATGTTCCACGCTACCTACCAACCCAACCCTCTCTCTCCTAATTATGCCTTCTGTCTCGGGTCCCTACTGTACGGCGGCGCGGCCCTGTCTCGGACTCGGAGGACAAAAGCCCTCTGCGGCCGCATCAAAAACATGCACCAGTGCAGCGATGGGGGCCAACAAGTCCTCAACATAGTTTGTTGGCCCGGTGGCCCGTAGTCCAAAATGAGAGAGGTGGGGTGGTTGACCTGGTCACTTGGGCCACGCTGTCCGACTCGGTTCGTTTCTATTGTTGACTTCAATGTTGTTTGTCCGTCCTTGCCGTGGTCGTGCAGTTTGGACTCGTCGGAGCCGCAAAAAAAGCCGAACTGACCGGGTATGCGCCATGGCACAACAGGGTCGGGGACGTTGAATGCCGTTGATAACTGGTGAATTCCAGTCTTGCTGCACTTGCCGGGCCCGGGCTGTGTCCCACCAATGAGACAGCTAGAGTATTGTGCCCGTAGCACGCAGCGGGCTTTTCTATTTTTGTCGCGGCTTGCGTGCCAACAGCCAACAACCAAGATCCAGACACGGGCGGCCCGAGAAATTCAAGGCTGTGGTTACCTCCCTCCCCAAGGCATCGAAGTTGGCCAACCCTCGCTCTTTCAAACACCGCCGTCTAATTACCTCACACAGATTAAAGGCCGCAACGCACATACGCACAGCTGTGACAGCACTGTAATGCCCTCTACTGATTCCAATCATCTTGATCGAATATTCTTTTGAAAACTGCGTTCAATATGAGGAGCCAAATGAAGACGGACGAGATTGAAGCGGAGCGGGATCGATGGGTTGCCGCTCTCAACGATAGCGATATCTGTCACCTCGCCTCTTCTTTCCGGGGCGGCGACCCGTGCACTATCTTCCAGCCACGCCAGAATGGCGCTTTTAATGTCTGTTTCTTCATCGAGTTCAAGTCGCCTTGGCAACGCTGGGTCGTCCGGATTCCCATACCCATCAGTCTTCCCAAGGTCCTGTTGGACGAAAAGACTGAAATCGAAGTGGCCACGATGCGGTAATGGTTTATCCTTCCCCCGCGGCCCGTTAGGGTTCCCCTTCTCGATTCCTGCGTCCTTTTGCCTGAAAGATCCTGGGCTGAGTATGAAATAGGTACTTGTCGGCCAAAACCACAATTCCTATACCCAGAGTACACGCCTATTCATTCTCAGACACGGCACCGAACGGTCTGCCCTTTATCATCATGGACTTCGTCGACGGCCGCAGCCTCAAGGATCTTGGAATCAAATCTATTGGCGAAACCTGGGGTTCCCTGATCTTTGCCGGACCTCAAACCCCTGCCGCAAAACACCTCCATCGACAGCTGGCGACCGTTTTACGTCCAGTTACGCCAACTCGAGTTTCCCAAGATTGGAGCCTTGGGCTTGTGTTCGCGTGATGTGTCAGCTTTGACTTGCGACCCTCGAGAGATCAGCGTCTGTAACCGGCCGCTCGCGATAGATATCGTGTTGGAACCAGCGGTATTTCAAGGCATTGAGCAGATCACTGAAGGCTTGGGTCAAAAGGAACGGAGTAGAGGGTGTTGATGGCTGTCAATTGCAGTGCTTGTTGTTCGTTGTTCTTATTCAACTTGTTGAACTGGTCTAATTTTCTGGCGACCAGTAATTTGGTTGGCCCCCCGGGTCACGTGACCCAGGTCCTAGGCGCAAGCCGCTCTGGGCTTGTTCTGACACACCCCCTCAGGAGGCGCCCCGTGCCTCCTGTCCTAACTGGGTAATCATGAGGCTGAATGTCCTCCCGTGATCTTCATTTCTCGGTGTTTTCTTTCTATCCTTGGCCCGTTACTCCGTGCTTGGCGGCCCTGCTTGGGTTTTCGTCAAGTGAGTAACTGGATGTCCTCCAAATTCAGCATCCTGACGAACTCCTGGTGGTTGTCTGCGTTGAGCGCCTTGGTCAGGCCGTCGGCCACCATTTTCTTGGAAGGCACGTATTTTACGTGGATCTTCCCGCGTTGATATTCTTGTCGGAGCCAGTGGTTGTGGATGTCCACGTGCCGGAGCTTCGTTTGGAGGACGGCGATTTCTTTCGTCACAAGGGAGATTGTGTTGGTATTGTCGCATTCGAGAACCAGGACGTCGTCGTCGAGTTTGATCGCCATTTCAGCGATCAGTCGTTGGATAAACAGTCCTTCTTTGGCCGCTTGCGCCAGGGCGAGGAGTTCTGCCTCGGTGGTTGAGGTGGTTACTGTGTCTTGCTTGCTGGCGCGCCAGGCGATGAGACCTCCGAACAAGGTAATTGCGTAGCCCTGTGAGCTTTTTCGGTCGATGGAGTTGTCGGCAAAAGAGGCATCGCTGGCCACTCGGAGGTAGTCGCCACCGCCTAGCCTCAGAGCCAGAGACCTTGTTACATGCAGGTATCGCAGGACCTGGTCCGCCGCGCGGTGATGTTCTGGTCCAGGGTTTTGATTGAACCTGGCCAACCGGGCGACTGCGAAGGCCACATCGGGGCGGGTGATGACCGCGGTATAAAGGATGGAACCGACCTTTCGCTGGTACAGGCGGGTTGATTGCCTCGTCGCGATCCCTTCGTATGGCGGAAGCTCTCGCAGGCCCATTGGTGTGCGGGGGAGGTCGTCAGACTGCGCCAACTCGGCGATCTTGTCGATGTAAGCCGTCTGGGACAGCCAGATGTAGCGTCTCGCGCGGTCGCGGTGAATTTCAATGCCTAGGAACCAGCGAAGGTCCTCGCCACCAGTGAGCTCGTATTTGGCCTTTAGCCCACTGATCGCTGCGTTGGCGATATGGCTGTCGTTTTTGCGATACGCGACGACGATGTCGTCCACGTAGAAGAAGATGAGGCATCCTTTCCGTATCATCATACAGGGCTCGTGGGGTAGAGCCTTGAAGCCGAGTTTGGTCAACGTAGCTGTCAATTCCTTTTGCCAGAGGAGGGGAGACTTCCTGAGCCCATAAAGTGCCTTCTTGAGCTTGAGGACCCTGCTTGGCCTCCGGTAGCCTGTGGGCATCTCCATATAGACATCCTCGTCTATTTTGGCATTGACGAAAGCGTTGACTGCATCGAATTGCTTGAGTTCCAAGTCGAAGCGGGCGGCTAGGGCCAGGACTGCCCGGAAGGACCGCACTGCGAGAGTGGCCGCGTAGTTCTCCTCGGCATGATTGACCCTCTGTTGGTCCCCACGGACAACTAACCTCGCCTTGCATTTGGCCAGGAAGCCGCGAGTGTTGAATTTGTAGGTGTAAACCCACATGCAATCGAGGATTTGATTGCCCTGTATTTGGTCGCTGTGGCGCGACACTTCCTCCCAGGACCCTGTTTTCTCATGGCTTTGCAGGTGGTCTCGTTCGGCCTGGAGGAATAGGTCGGCCAGTGGGTGCCGCTGGTGTCGTGGCTTCCCTTTTCGTGGGTTGATGACTGGGAAGTGCGGCTCGACGAGGTCATGATGCCGTTTTGGTGGGGCCGGAAGCTGAGATTGATGGAGGTTGTTGATACTGCCTGGCTGTGCCCTGGCCACGTTGATCTCAGCTATGGTGATGGTTGCGGAGCCCGCGCTCTGGCGTGGTGGCTTTCGTTGCCTTCGGGCGACCTCGGCCCTGGTGGCCTGGGTGCTCTCCACTACTGTGGGCGACGATTGTGTGCCTGCGTGGAAAACTGCGTGCCACGGCTCAACTCTACGGCGACGTCGTACTGGTGGGCTAGTGTACTTGGAGATTCTCATGCCGTGGAAAGCTGCGGCAAGCAGGTCGCCTGGGGGCGGCGTTTGTGGTGGTGTCGGGTAGAAGTCTTCGAAGGTGGATGTATGGTCGCCTTTGACGGTGATACTGTCCAGTATTTCTTCCTCCTCTTCGTCGATCACCTCTGTCACCCCCTCATCTTCGAAGGCTGCGGTTGTTGATACCACAGTGGCGCCTGTGCTTTGTGCCTCGCTATCTTCCTCTTCTTCCTCCTCTGCGATGCTCTTGTCCTCGGTCGTGTTGGCGTTGAGCCATTCTTTCAGTTGTTCGAGGTCGACTTGTGCAAGGTCGTTCTTGATCATGTCAATTGATCCTGAGAACACCTGCTCCTCGTTGAAGACAACATCGCGTGTGCGAACGACCTGATTAGTGACAGGATTCCAGATACGGAAGATGTTCGAGGAATCGTAGCCAACGAGGTATCCGATCCATGCACGGGGAGCCAGCTTCCTGGTCCTTTCAGTGCCTTTGAGAGAGCCACGCGTCAGCGCGAATGCCTTGCACCCATAGACCTTGAGGTGGCTCTGATTCGGTCGTTGTATTCTGGTCGGGCTGTCGTTGTCCTTGCCTGCCAGACCTTCGTGGAACCGCTCGTACGGTGACTTCCAATCGAGGATATACTTGGGTGACCTGTTATACAGGTAGACTGCGGCCTTTGTGGTCTCATTCCACAACTCTTCAGGGAGGTTGGCGCCGATGCGCATGGCTCTGGCCTTTTCCTTGATCACTCCGCCGGCACGCTCTCCGCCACCGTTTTGCGCAGGAGTGTCGGGCGCAGAGGGCTCAATTTTCATGCCCTTGAGGTTGCAGAAGTCCACAAGGATCGTGGCGTTCGCGAATTCGTTGTCGCATTCCACGATCTTGGGCTTGATATTGAACTGCGTTTCTAGCAGCTGGAACAGGTGCTTCAAGGCCGCAAGGACTTGCCTCGCCTCACGTCTTGCAAGGTAGTAGTCCCAACACATACCGGTCTCCAGGTTCCATCTCTGTAGTCCTTGTTGCACGACTAATCTGGCGTTTAGCCTTGCCTTGCCCACACCCGTCGCATTGGACGGTGGTAATGCCTTTGATGCGTGCGCCCAGGGAGTGATTGACCAGGTGTTCTAATACCCTGGGTCCTGGGTGGCCTAGGCGGAGGTGCCAGGTCATCGCGTCTGCACTGCTGTCAGCTCGTGAGGTCCAGGAATTAATCTTCCGCTTGCGTGCTGCCATTGCTGCGGCAGGGACCTGTTCAGGAAGGTGTTCAACCACGAATTGATCGTAGTGAATGCTAAGGAAGCACAGCGTTGAGCCGTCATTCCGTTGGAGGCTGTTGCGGCGGTTGTCCCACCAGATGCCACGCCTATTGAGTCCCTTTAGGGAGATGATATTGCACGCAAAGGTCGGGCAATATGCCACGCCTGTAAGCGTCAGTATTTTAGGCCCCTGCAGGCTGCTGATTTTGATGTCCACGGTGCCATAGCCCTCTATTTTCACGGGATGTTCCCCGGCCCAGACACAGTCATTTGGACCTGCTGGTGAGGGTGGCTTTTTGAACCGGTGGAAGCTATTGAAGATGTGGATAGTTGATCCTGAGTCCAGTATCGCCGAATTGACGAGGGGGTATAGTACCCCTGCCTGGAAGCTGACTTGGATAGTCGCGAGAATCGCTGAGCATATGCCAATGACTCTCCACAGCTGCTCGGCCGGCAGTCAATGGCCTTGCGCCGGAGCATCTGGTTGTTGCTTAGAGTTTTTGGTTCGCTTGTTCTGAATGCGCTCGACCTCGGCCTTCAATGAGGAGTCTGAGGCTATTTTCTGGTCCACACGTTCTCTGACGTGGTCCCGTATTTGGAAGCCTTCAGGTGCCAGGTGTGGCATGATGTAGGCACAGCGCTCCATGTGATGTCTTCCGTGACAGAGGCGGCATTTGGCCTTTTCGGTAGGAAGAGTGCTGTTCTTGCGCTTGTGGGAGGCCTTGCTAGCTTTCCCAGACTCATTTGAATCACCGGGGTTGAATGACGGAAATGCGCCCTTCTGAATGCGTGCGCCTGTCGTCGAGGGCAGCAGGGGGATAGTTGTTTGCCGCGCCTCGGTGGCGATCTCTCTGTAACCCAGGTTCGGGTTGGGTGAGGCGGTTGGACCGTACCAGTGCTGCATATAGTGGCACGATCGGTCCCACGGCTCGAGCGTAGTCTTCGAACCAGGATCCTTCATTGGAGACCTCAGGGAGCTTGTACATGGTTGCCTCGCCCATCAGGGTCTCCCACTGAGTCAGCCACTGACCAAAGTCGGCCTGGGTGATGGCCTTCCCTTTTAGGGCAGTGTAGTTGTTCGCTCATCCTGCCACGCAGGGCGCTGATTGTTTTCGTGGCGAGCCTCCGCGACGGCTTTTAGGTTCTTGTACCAGTCCCGGAGACTCCCGCCGGTTGGAAAAAGTGTGCGTTGCGGAGGGTGATCGCGACAGTGGTGTTGAGAAAGGTTCGAGCTTTGTCGAGTTTGGTGGACTGGGCTGTCCAGTCCTTACGGCGGTTGTCGTGAAGGTTCTGAATGGATTGAAAGAATGAACAGGCCGTAGGTCTGGAAATAGTCGTCCACTGCCTTCCCTGCGGTCCTCTTCTGTGCGGCAGTGGGTGCCCCGGAGGCTTGTTCTCCCTCTGTTTCGCTGTCGGGAGGAGTGGTCGCTGTCGAGATATCGAGCGTCGCTTCGGTGGCGCCTTCGAGTTCCTCATCTGTGAGCGCAAGGATGGCCACTCCCTTCTCTTCTGCGATCTTCTTGCGCCGTTCTTGCGCCCGTTCCATGATTCGCAGCGGATTGACCGATGATCGTGGCTCGGTCAGGAGTTCTTTGGTGCCCTGGAAGTATTCGAGGAGCTTGAGGGCGTCCATTGTGTTCGTGAACTCGCGATGCCAACTGACCCAGGTGCTGGGACCAGTCAGGATCTGGGTGACGGTCTTGTCTTCAGTGATCGGCGCCATGGCTGCTGGACCGTAGATTGAGGGCTGGCTTGCTCGGGGATTGCGAGGCGAATGAGACTCTTAATTGTTGGAACCAGCGGTATTTCAAGGCATTGAGCAGATCACTGAAGGCTTGGGTCAAAAGGAACGGAGTAGAGGGTGTTGATGGCTGTCAATTGCAGTGCTTGTTGTTCGTTGTTCTTATTCAACTTGTTGAACTGGTCTAATTTTCTGGCGACCAGTAATTTGGTTGGCCCCCCGGGTCACGTGACCCAGGTCCTAGGCGCAAGCCGCTCTGGGCTTGTTCTGACATATCGCCCTACAAGAACTCGACGGCTTGCAGCCCGGAAACATCTTTCCACCTCGGAAGACCCTATCTACAGCTCGCGAATTCGTTGACGGGTTGCTAGGGTTAGCCCAGAACAAGCTTGAGAAAGAGCTAGACCAGGGTATGGATGAGGACGAGCCTGCGTCTGTTCTATATGTCGCTCACCATTTCAAGCGCTTCGTTCTGGATGAGTGGCTGGACCAGTCGGCCAACCCAAGGCCCGTTTACTTTGGAGTATGTTCAACAACTACTTACGCCCTTGAGCTACATTGGCTAATCTACACTAGTACATGGCGATATGGAGAATGTGATAAGCAATCTTCTGTTTGACACGGACTACAACCTTGTTGGTATTGTAGATTGGGAATGGAGCCGAGTGGTTCCGGTGCAGTTTATGGTACCCCCGATCTGGCTCAATGCATCACAGCTGGATTTTGTACTGCTCATTCAGGAGAACTACAACAAGCAGGTCGGCTACCTGCGTGCCGCCATTCAGGAAGTCGAGAAAACATTGGGCCTGTTACCGCAGTTGTCGACTGAATGGGCACCGCTGGAGAAGTGGTATGTGTTCAACGCTTTTCTTCCTTCCCAAACCTCTCGAATTTCATTGCCATCGCTGATACCCGGTGCAAAGGTGTCATACCGCCATCGTTCTTGGGCTCAATTACCCCGAGCATGCCTATCTCGTGTACTGGGACCTGATTTTTAGGAAACTGGTGCCCAGGGTTCGCGGTCTTACCCAGGAGCAGCGCGATCAGCAACACGAGAAAGAAGTTGTCCTGCGCATCAAGGGATTCATGGAGGGTTCTGAGGAGCGCCGGTCCTTCTTAGAAAGGAAGATTCAGCAACAGTTGGAGTATTTCGAGGCCGAGAAGGAGCACTACGGCCACAAGACGAGGCGGCGGATTATCAAGCCTGTCTGCTAGGCCGGGTGGTATAATGTTTTTTACCAGCGGGTCTTACCGCCTGGCCAGAAAGCCTGTGGAAGGGTGAACTTGCTACAGGACCAGGCGGGTCGCGAGCGTGGGGATGTGGGAGCCGATAGGGGATGATCCTAAAAGCCCCGACTCGTATACACGTCTTTATCCGTTTTGTCCTTGGTGACGTTGGGTGCGGCCGGAGTGCTGGTGATGATGCTGTGTGACCTCGGCGTCCATGGATGGGGTGCCACTCCATCCGCGCATCGTTTCCAATTACCCACCCGTCTCCATTTCAGCAACCACTTCACAATCATCTCAAAAGACCAAGAAATCCCAGTGCTGGTAGTATCTCGCTCGCGTTGCCACCCGGACCGTCCGCAAGTCATTTCAACCACCCAGAATTTGAGAAGTGACCTTCTTTCGATATCTAAAATGCCGGGCGAGGTGCCGATTGCCAATGGCACGCCGAAAAAGGGACATCTTCCACGCCAACTTTAATCTCGGCCACCTCCTCCAGTTAGCAGAACGTCTCCGAGGTCGTCCGTGTACTTGCGACGACTTTCAATCTCCCAAATCAGGCGCCCTAAACTGGGCGATATTTCTTGAGTTCCATGATGGCGTCGAATGGGTGTTTCGGGCTCCCTGTTCATCCCCCGCCGTGGCCAAAGATGTCACAGGACGTCTCCTAGTGAGCGAGGCCGCTACCCTAAAATACATCCGAGAACACACTGCTATTCCTGTCCCAGAGGATTTTCATTACAGGTATCTTCTTTACGTCTTCTGCCCGTTTCTCTCACTAACAGTCGCAAGTCCTACCTACGAAAACTACATCGGGATTCCATACATCTTCATGAGCAAAGCGACTGGTCATCCGCTTGCGAAATACGAGTGGCCAACACATACCCATGAACGCTCCCGGTTGGACGGTTCTACCACAGCCCGAGTAATGACCGATGGAATGAAGCAGAAAATCATGCGTCAACTTGGTTGCTACGCTCGTCAGTTATTTGATGTACGCTTTCCCACAATCGGCTCTCTCTTCGAAGGCGACCAGGGATATTACATTGGCGAGTAGTTATCTCTCCCCGGGGCATGTTCTCGAAGACCGGGGAACGATTGAGGACATCCCGCGCGGTCCTTTCCACAACGAAGCAGATTATTATTCCTCTCTCGCCATAGCCCTGCGTCTCCATGCTGAGCAACTTCACATGGGCCACCATGTCCTCCGTGCACCTGTTCCTGTCCCACAAGAATACCCCGACTTCGCCAAGTACTACGCCGCCACGGATCGCTGGAACGACCTTGTCGCCCTTGGAGGAATGGTAAACCCGAGCACCAACCGATTGCAGTATTGCCTCGCGAGCGACCTCTTCCGAGATTCTATCATCCCCCGCATGGTCCGTCCCGTTAACCAATCAGCCCCCGGCTTCCCCCTTTGCCACCACGACATCAGCGTCCAGAACCTTTTTGTTGACGATGACTTCAACATCACGTGTGTCATCGACTGGGCGTTCTCCTCAACCGTTTTTCCAGCCCAGCTATTCGCTACCCCGGGCCTACCACATCCCAGGGATTTGTTGTTGGATTTGTCCTTGGTACGTGCCTTCCGCTCCGGTATTGAGGCGGAAAATAAGAGAATCAGCGGTGGCACGATCGAGTCCAGCTACTGGAAGACCAGCCATATGGTCTCACGATTCATGCGCGTGGTCAACTTGGATGCTTTGCAGGATTATGGCCATCTTGAGGCACTCTACGCGCTTGCCGGGGGACCTGTAACTTCTGGAGTTGACGGAGACGACACCAATAATTTATCAGCCACATTGGCGAGACGAGCCACGAGCCACGATGCACTCTCACTAGTCAGCGAGCTAGCAGCAGATGACGAGCCTCAAAGCGAGATCAATCGGCGGGAGAAGCAGTATTTCGACGCAGTTGGCGCTCAGAGACTAGCGTTGGCGCGCAAGGTGGCATTTGCAGCCAAGATGAACCCGCAATTTGTGGCAGATGGGCGGCTGTGGCGTTGGGTTTATGAAGCTCTGGAGTACTACAACTAATGCCTGGTCCGCAGTGAATTACCTCCGCTAGCTGCTTCACCACATATTCACTGGATATTCACCTAACGGGCCATCTTTTTCCCTCGGGATCCTGAAGCAGAACTCCGGGATGGAGCCAATCAGATACGATGTGCATGGCAACTGTTGCCATGCACATCTGAGTGTGGTAAACAAAAACAAGCTTTTGTCCTCCCACCCACCGCCCTCGGCCAAGACACGAGACCTTTGTCACGCTACCCTCAACAGCTCACCACTTTTGTATCAATCACTACATACACCCCTTACTTGCGACAATGGAACAGATTGACCGCCGAAGTCTCGAGCGGACACAGTACCGCATGTTGATGACTCTGTGGGAGCAGTTGGAGCTCCAGTCGCCCGGCACGCTAGACGACGCCACGCTCAATGACCTCGGCGTTGTAAAGGGGCCAGATCTTGACGTCGATAACCTGCGAACCTTGGATTCTGAGCCGCGGTTTTTTGCTCCCTGCCGTAGCGAGATCAGCGGTCTAGAGGAAGAACTTAAGACGTGGAAGCCCCTTTGGAGGCCGATTTACGATGAACCCGAGCACCTCCGCGAGGAGGAGTGGATTCGGAACGCCGGCTACAGAATGGTTCGAGAATGATTTCTTGGCTTGGAGATGGAGCACGAGGATGAAATACACCCCATGTATGTGCGTTGCTTCTTCGCCGCTGCTCCCCCAACCCTCGCGACTAACGCCTGTGTCAAGCAATATCTACAAGGGAGTCAATCAGGAAGATATGAGTTTTAGATCCCCGATGGGCGACTGCCCTGACAAGGCGGGGCTGTACTTGACCGGACACTACCTGTTGCCGATCGCGGCCAACACACCGCATCTGGGAATCACAATGCTCAACCCGACCGTGGCCCCAGAAGGCAGAATGCTCGAGAGCGAGCTCAAGGCCGCCGTCGCCTGCCTGTGGGCGCAGACCCGCTCCAAAGAATTCACCGACCACCACACCAAGCCCGTAAGCAGCCCCCCCCTTTCCTCCGCCCCCATCCAACCAACCAAACTAACCACCACCCCCAGGTCCTCATCTTCACCTTCCAACTCGAAACCCAAGCCCGCATCACCCAAGCTCACATGGACCCCAAGACACACACCATCATCCTGCGCCAGTCGCGGCAGCTCGACCTGGGCGGCGCCCCGGGCGTGCCGCCCCCCGACGCCCTCCTGCTCATCCGCTGGCTCCTCAACTCGCCTGTGGGCGCTACCAGGTATGAGGACGGGGACGGGGACGGGGAGCTGCCTGGTGGGGATGAGGCTGCTACTTAGGGCACGGGTTAAGCAGCTGCGGAGCCAGGCTCTGGGGTTGTTTTTGTTATGGTACGGGTGATGTATCATAATGGATGGGACATGGTATTAGTTGGGTTTTCGGCTGAGTCCCGTCTTTTGTGGGGATATAGGGAGTAAAGGACAACCTATTCTTTCGCATATCTTGAGCTGCCACGCGCACGCATTTTGTTTTCCGGATCCTGGACAGGAGGAGGCTTGCAAGGAGCTGGTAACTGAGGTACTGTTCTTGGTATCGGCTTGGGGATCTCGAACAGGGGAAGAGACGAGGTATCCCAGCCCAGCGAACTGAGGATGAGAGCGCCGGAACTAGGCTCCTTTTTGCCAATGGGGTGCCCATGCCAAGACCATTCCACACAGTTAACGACGTTTGGACGTCCAAAAGGCGGACCCGGCCCATCTGTCACCCTTCAATGCCCTACGCAACGATTTCTAACCATGGCATTCAGTCAGCCCCCAGACGAAGAGCCGGCTATCAATGAGCGGACCGCGCTAGCCCATAATGCGATCGGATCTCGAGACCAAGTCTCAACTCGGATTGCTCGCCGACTCTACACGTCGCACTTCTTATCGACATGGAATTCCCGCGTCTTTGAGTTCGGCGCCGTGCTGTACCTGGCAACCGTTTTCCCCGGGACCTTGTTACCCATGTCTGTGTATGCTCTGACGCGCGGACTGTCGGCCATTCTTTTTGCCCCTGCCATCGGGCACTATGTCGACACGGGCAATCGCCTTCAGGTGGTCCGGGTGTCTATTAGTAAATGCTCTCTTCTCAGGGCCCTTTTCAGGAGAGGTTACTAATCTCCCTCGAGTCTTCCAGCGCCTTGCCGTGGCGGTATCCTGCGCCATCTTTTACGTGCTCGTCATGGGGCTGCCTCTCGGACATGGCGGAAGAACGGGCATGCTTGTGCTTTTGTCCTTCCTCGCCTGCATCGAGAAGCTATGCTCCATTCTGAACCTGGTCTCTGTTGAGAAGGATTGGGTGAGTCGGTTGATCACCAGACAAACGTCTTGAACCTTTAGCTCATCGGATCGATAGGTCGTTGTGGTGGCAGACCAGGACCATGCTGCGCTGATGACCATGAACGCACAAATGCGGCGCATTGATTTGCTCTGCAATCTCTTTGGCCCCCTTTTCATCGCGTTGCTCGACGGCGTCTCAACCAAAGTGGCTATTACTGCCAATCTGGTCATGAACGTTACGTCCGTTGTCCTTGAGTACTTTGCTATTGCCCGGGTCTACTACGAGGTTCCGAGACTACAGCAGGCCAAGGTTGCACCGCGACGAGAGCCAACAGAAATCGAACCAGCGCGGGTGCCCGAGAGCCGAAGCCAGCTCGCACAGAGTTGGAGACGCGCCCGTGGCGTCTTCAGCAAGTCCGCTAGGGATTTCAACTTCTACTTCCGTCACCGCGCCTTTCTCGCTTCTATCTCGGGTGCACTTCTTTACCTTACGGTCTTGAGTTTTGCAGGCCAGATGGTAACCTACCTGCTCTCGGCTGGCTACACTTCCAACCAAGTCGGTATTACGAGAACACTAAGTGTCTTCTTTGAGGTATTGGCTACGTGGGTGGCGCCTTGGCTCATGGGGCGAGTTGGGCCCGTGAGAGCTGGCCTCTGGCTCAGCAGCTGGCAAGTTACGACGCTAGTTGCCGGGATCACAGTGTTTTGGATCTTCGACGATGATCCTGTCGTTTCGGCGAGCGCTCTCGTGGGCGGGACCATACTCAGTCGCCTAGGACTAAGGGGCTTTGACCTTTGCGTGCAAATCATAGTTCAAGAGGTAAGAGTCGATACCAAGCCCTGGGCGGATAATGCAATTCCACAAAACTAATTAGCTGCCCAGGAGGTCGAGACCGAGAACCGCGGTGCATTTTCATCAGTGGAAGCGGCGTGGCAAAACGCCTTTGAACTCCTGTCTTTCGCCACGACTATCGTTTTCTCCCGCCCCGATCAGTTCAAGTGGCCCTCACTCATATCCGTTGGGACCGTCACTTCGGCATGGGCAACATATACGCTCTTCGTTTACGTCCGCCGAGGGCATCTGGTGCATCTAGATGCACTCACGAAGATACTGGGTAGCAGCAACGGATGGCAGAGAGAAAGGCAGAGAGTGGTTGATCGGATCACATCAGAAGCTGACATATAGGCCGCCATGTCACAATTATGGATGGAAAGGTTTGCTCTCCTGAAGGTAAAATCACGACTAAAACCTCTTGGCCTGGTTTACTCTGAAAATCCCAGGAACATACATCACATTTCTCCTATTATCTACGAGCCATTTATTGATCATCCATAGCTGCCAGTCGATGATCCCTGCCTCAGATCTGCCAGTAGCTGAGCCATCCCTCTCGAAGCTCAGCATGCCCATCCAAGTTTTAGGTTTATCCCTCCCTTCTCCTCAGCTCCCCACATAGTCACGCCACGCTTCATGGTTAAATACCACCAATTACGACCACGGCGACGAACAAACAAACAAACAAAACACCAGCTATCCACCCTCTTCTCAGAATCCACCCCAGCAACCACCCTCCCACTAACCCCCTCTCCCTCCCCCACCCCCCGCGTCAGCGCCGCCACCATCACCGTCCACAAAACCTTCCCCCTCAGCCCTCTCCTACTACCTACCCTCTCACCACATTAAACCCCCACACATCCCCAAGAGCTCTCAGTGGGATGGTTGATTTGGTTAGGGTTCAGTTGGGTTGGTGTCAAGGGGGGTTGGGGTGGTCAGAGGGTGCCGGGCGGTGTTTCTTCGAGGGGGGACGTGGAGGGGCCGCCGCGGTTGGAGGAGAGGTGAGGGAGGATGGGCCGGTTTCTGTTGCGAGGGGGTTGGTTTGGGGCGGGTATGGTGACGGGTGAGGGTGGTGGGCAGGTTGTTATTGTGTATGGCGGTTTGGGGGAAGATAGGTCGAGGTTGGGGGATGCGTGGGGGTTGGAGTTTAAATAGATTGGACTTGTCCTATCGGAATAGACAAAGCTGTTTTTTCTCCTAGGATGTTTTGGCGCCAGGGTTTCTTTCCCGGTGAGGCGCACCAGAAAGTGGTTGAGTCCCGGACAAGCTGGCCTGATTCCAGGGCTGCTCGTTTTTGTCTTCTCCCATCCAACGGTTCAAGGAGTAGTACCCGGTTGATGCTTGTCTCTGAGCCGATCCGCTGCTGGTCGTCGACGGTGCATACGGTGATGCCTCTGAGGGTTTTGATTGCGCACTAGCGGTGTTCATGGTGACTCGAATCGGTGATTTTGTGGGACACGGTTAGGAAGGGGTTTATGAATGGCAGTCTGACTGGCCGCTCGTAACTTTGCCGTTTTAATAATGCTGGATAACGCCTGCCCAGTCGAAGTCTTATTCAATGACCTGTCCCAGAGGGTTGGCTGGGCCTGGCGGTAAGACTTTACGTCTTGGGAGTACGAGAGAAGTGTCGAGTAATTCATAGGGCTTATAGTTTCCTACATGTTCCTGACGTAGGCGGTTACTTATATATGCCGTCAACTCTTATGCTTCATGCTCGCTCTCAAAAAGCCGAGCCCATATTCGTACTACGATGAAGCTTTCCTCCAACCATAGCTCTCAAGCCGTGTGCCCATTACCGTCGAGCACACTGCCCGAGCCTCAACACCAAGCAGCTGTCCAAGTATCAGGTGAGCCAAGCCCAGCACCGCGAGGGTGACATTTCTTTTCTTCAAGCCGCGCCCGGCAAGACGCATCATGCCTGACGTATCGGGCCGGGCTCGCAGCCAAGCCCAAGACTTAACATATTCAGGCCAAGCTTGGCCGGGTGTGGATCGGCACAGCCCTATCATCCCCGAGTCTTGGTTCATCCACTCAGGCCATGCCGATCGCCCCCCCAAGGGTTCAGATTCAGGGGTGCTGCCCCGTCCTGAGGTTCCCCGTTTCGTTTCAGGTTCCACTGTCACCACCGGCCTGCCCCTGCAGGTTTTCTGGTTTTCTCAACGATGGGAGCCTTCGGGGTTAAATTACGAGATTAGGCAAAGTGGACTGTTGGATTGGAAGAGAGGCTGATCGGCTTGCCTGGTGACGTCTTCAAACCTTCCAAGATGGCCCCAGTTCATGCCCTTATTGGGAAACCTATCGCCGCCGCCTCGATGACGAATTCTCTGCTCGCCGCGGAAACTCCCGTCATGGGACGGGTGGTGGCGGGATGCCGTTCACGCTCGCGGTCTGAGCGATGGCTGCTAGCATATTGTCGTTCATGGCCTGGTTCATCCCAAGCCGCAACCCCCTACGGTAGCCGGATTTTGATGCAACACCCAAGATCTTGTCGTGAAGTGTAGCGGCGTAGGTAGATAATCCCGGAAAGGTGGTTTCTGCCAACTATAAGTGCCATCTAAACCTGGATACTACCGGTGAAAGCAAAAAAAAAAAAGATATGGTATTCGTGCACCCTTCCCAACCCACCCACCGGATGATACCGTGCTCATCCAAACCCCAGACCCGCCTCTTTACAACCATTTACATATATATACACATTACCACAAATAGCGTGGTAAAAAAGAAGTTTACTCTCGCTCACGACCGGCGGCCCGGGCCAGGGGGCCATAATCAGCCAGACACCAGCCAAACACCAGCCAGACCCATAAACCCTGCCCCTCCTCCCCCGGAACCGCCCCGGCCAGAAATCCCTTCCCAAGGGGAAGCAGTATTTGCTGCTCCCCCTCCATCTAACCCTTCCACTAACTCCAAGTGATATAGATATGGGGAAGATCACCCCGTCCCTGGATGTCCCCTCCCCATATCCGCCTGATGCTGCTGCTGCTGCTGCTGCCAGCCCATCGCCAGGGCATTCGCGAACACCGACTCATCCACCACGGTCCCGGCCAGACTGCTCCAGTCATCATAGACATTCATCGGCGGCGACATGAGGTGGGATTGCTGCGGTTGTTGCTGCTGATGTTGTTGGTGCTGCTGGTGCTGGAGCTGCTGCTGGATCTGGTGCTGCTGCTGCGGCGTCATCTGGGACAGCAATTGCATGTGCGGGTGCACGTGCGTCACGGCCAGGTCGTAGTACCCGCCTGTTCCGGCGGGGCTCATCATTGGTTGGCCGTAGGGGGATATTACCGCCTGAGGGGGTGGTTGTTGTGGTAGGGGCTGCTGCTGTGGTTCTGGTTGTTGTTGGTTTTGTTGTGTCGGGGGCGGTGGTTGTGGGCTAAAGAAGGGGTTATTTTTGGGAAACATGGAGGGAAGAGGTGCAATGTTGCGTTGCTTCTTCGGGAACGGCTCGTCGTCGTATGCTGTGGGCGGTGGCGGCGGTGGCGCTTGGGGCGTGGACATGTGTTTCGTTAGGGGGGATGACTTCATTACGGCTTTGTGCTTTGGCGGCTCCGAGATGGGCCGCGAGCTTGATGAGGTAGGGGGTGGTACAGGTGCGACGGTCGGCTGGACCTCGGTTCGGAGCCGGATGGTGGCCGAGTCGTGGGCGAGGCGGGCGAGGAATTTCGGGTCATCGCGGCTCTCACTGAAGAATTCGAGGAGGTCTTGGAGCTTCCCTGGGCTTTCGCCCTCGAGGAACCCCTGAGCGTGGCCTGTTGATTTGGGGTCCCATTCTAGCATGGGTTGTTGGTTGCGTGGTAAATGGCCGTAGAGTTCCGAGTCCAGGTCTTTCCAAGCTTGGCTGATCGTGGGCTGATGCAATAGGCCGTAGATGACGAGGGAGTGGTTCCAGTGTGACTTGTTGCAGCCATCCTCGTAGTGCCGGGCAATGTGGTCGAAGTAGCGGTCACGACTGGCAAGGAACCCGCCGCAAAAGCCGCATGCCCTGGGGGACGGTCAGCTTGCCTGGTTTGTCTACGGAGGTCGCACCATGCGCGGCGTCGGCTGCACGACCCTCGGACTGGGCGAGGACAAAGAGCGGAAAAAGCGGAAAGGGAGCAACGGAAAGGAAAAGGGGGGGGGATAAATTGGAGAGGACATACCATGCCGTCTTCTTCTGCGTGTACTTCACCACACGCTCGGCATGCGGGCAGGTTGTACACCCATGGGCGTTTTTGTGGTGTTGATTGAAGGTATTCGCGCCCCAAAAGATGCGGTTGCAGTTGGGACAGGGGTAGCGCTTGTAGCGTTCGTGAAACTCATCCTCGTGCCGCTTCCAGTCAAACTTGCGCTGAAAGGCGACGTCGCAGAAGGTGCACCAGTAAGCGCCCTGCGGTTTGGAGCTGCCCCGGTTGTTGCTTTTGACGGGCGGCGCAGGCGGCGCGGGTAGCGGCGTGGCCGAAAGTTCCTGGACGCCGCCCCCAAGTCCTCCCTGGGATGACACCGAGCTCATCGAGGTCGCCGTGGACAGGACGCTCGCCCTTCCCGATGACTTGGAACTCGTCGTCGACACGGAAAGTCGCGTGTTGTGGAAGGGTTGGTGGCTGCGTTTCTCCTGGACAACTTGCTGTCCCTGTTGCGCAGCCAGCTGCGGACTGCTTGTGTCCATCCCTGCCATCGCAGCGTTGCCTAGATAGAACCTTGTCAATCACTCAATTCCTCCTCAATTCCTCACCAAATGCAACCGTGTTTTCTTACCATTATCACCATAATTCTCCAACAATGCGCGCAACAGCGCTTCTCGTGACAGTCCGCAGTCCGTCAAGGCCTGGACATGAAGACGGGCCGCGGCCAGGCTGTCGGCGGGCGGATCGCGGAAAGGATCCATTGTGAAAGAATGAGCGGCCCGAGGCTCAGCTCAGCTCAGCCCAGCATAGAGCAGCACTGGTCAAAGAAAAAGGGAGAACAAAAAAAAAAAAAAGGAAAGTCGTTGGTGAGTAGGTAGAGATAGATTGCTCCCGGCAAAATCCGACGTAGCTAGCTCTCCATCGTGTGCAAGTGCAAAAACACGAGGAGCCAAAATGGAGAAGGAAACAAAAAGATGCTGGGTTCAGGTGCGGCGAGCGAGGCCACGCGCATGTGGGAGACAAGCCAGGAATATAATGCGACGCGCCCCGAGGATGGCTGCAACCCTCCCTTTAAAAATGCGACAGGGGGGGGGGGGAGAGGAAGGCCTCCAGGGGATGCAGCGCGCGGCGGCGCGGGTCGGGGGCGAGGCACCGAGGAACCGGGGAGTGCTGACTGATTGTGAGGGAAAGGAAGGGGGGGGGAAACAGGACCGGCTAACAAGTGCGAGCGACGCAAGAAATCCTGTTGTTCTCTTTGATCCCCGTCACATCATCCATTCTCGTCCCCTGGCAGCAGCAGCAACATCCGCCGAGAGATCATCAACAAAACCTGCCTTGAAACCACCATCCTAAACCCTCGACAACCTCGATGGATAGGCGCCTCCACACCACAAACCCACTACCAAACCCGCCACGAGCCACAGGGTGAGTGACGGGCAGCAAAGCAACCAAAACCAAAACCAAACCAACCAAACCAAACTAGACCAGGACAGGGAGCCGCAGATCGTCTGCGACCCTCCCGCACGAACCACCAAGTTTAGAGTTCGTTACCCCCCACACACTCCTGTCTACTGGCCTTTGTCTGACTTGAGCGGACGGACCACCCCCAAGCCCTTTCGCATTGATTTGATGTCCACATGGAAAATGACAAAACCTTTATTTGCTCGCCGCTCCTTTCCCGGGGTAATACCAAATTTATGGTAATCATCAAGGTGGTTTCGGAGGGTCAGACTCGGGCAGTTTGAGCCTTTCGAGGAATCTGCTGACAGCTTGACGGCGCTCACAGGGGTGTTCCTCGGCAAAGCTTACCCTCCAAGTTTCTTGCACAGCAGCAAGCAAACAATCCCAATCCGTCCAGAACCCCGAGCCTCGAAATGGAGCTTG